TGTATCATAAATAGGTGTTGAAACTTATCAAATGCTTTTTCTTTATTTTTGCCTGGCTTGATGAGCAGTGAGTAGCTCTGCGCCCGGGATACAAACCGGCAAACCCGGCTGCAGAAGCGGAATGCGTGCACTTAACCGCTGCACCACTGGGCCAGACCCTCAAATACTTTTTAAAATCATTGATTGAGGTAACTGTAATTTTTTTCCTTCAGTATATTAAAGTGGTGAATTACATTGATGGGTTTTCTAATACTAAAACACTTGCACTCCTGGGACAAACTGCCCTTGTTTGTGATGTATTACTCTTTAAATACACTTCTATATTTGGTTAAGTAATATTTTATTAAGGACTTTTGCATCTATATTTATAGATGAAATGGGTTTATAATACTTTTATTATATTATCCTCTAATGATTTCATAGGCAAAATTACCGTAGCCTCATAAAATGAGCTGCTCACTTTTTCACTCCTTCTCCAGATCTGTATCTCAGATACGTACTCCAGGCCAAACCAGAGATCACCTGGCCCAGCCTCCTGTTTCCTAAGCAAATATTATCACTCTTATTCTCTAGAGGAGAAAATTGAGGCCCAAGAATAAATTCCTGAAGGAGATGGAATTAGAACTTGTAATATTTTATCTGCTTTGGGTCTATAACTTCTTGGTGTGACCAGTATAATAATTAGTTTTTGAATAATACTGTATAATATTAAAATAATATTGCAAGTTTCTGAAGTTAATCCGTTAGTTTTTCAGAACTCAGTATACATTTTCCCATGGAAACAATCAAGTTGGTTGAGTTTGCATACCGGGTTGCTTACCTATTGCTTACCTCATAATATCACCTGTCATGCCCATGTGGTGGTGTATATCCTCTAACCCAATTTTCCAACCAGACTTGATCTTTCAAACTCTTCCAGTGTGACCTCTGGACTCAGCGTCTGTCATCATCCTTAATTTCCCAGACTCTTCTCTGAATGTTCCTTTCCCAGACCTTACTGAAGCCTGGCTTTCTTGGAGGACACTCTTCCCCGCAGCCCTCTTAATAGAGGCTTGTGTTTTGGTTTTAGGTCACACACCTGAGGGTCTGGAGCTGGGAGTATTGCTCCCCAATGCTACTTCTAGACCATTATTCTTCCTTCATTCTTCAAAATCCTCTGCTCCTTTGAGGTTCATGTCTGGAATTATATCAACTACTCCCTCTAATTGTTGCTGGGGTCTCCCAGCCTGGCCATTCACCCACATTCACTGATAACTCTAACACCTGCCTCATCATCTTCCTCTTTACACCTATGTTCCTATCATCATTGTTGCTGACTTCAAAATCCATCAAGGTACTCCATCTAATTGTAGCTTCTCAGGCCTCAGTCTCATCTCCAATGATCTTTCTCTTCAGCCTGTCCTCAGGCCCCTACCCTAGGCTTTGTCATCTCCAGAAACAACCTCTTCCAATTTATTGAATTCAAGCCCCCCACCTCTGATGATCACCTCCCAGCCTTCCAGTTCATTTACTCACGTATCCCCATTCCTTTCACTTTATGGAGATCTCTAAACCATTGTCTCTATCAGTTTTTCACTATCCATCAACTCCTTTTCATGCTTACTCTCCTACTTACCCAGTTTATAGCCATGATCTAACACATAATCACTCTCAAGCAAATACCTTAAAATCTCTTTTCCCTCTTTCTAGCAAAACCCCAACCCTGGCTAATTCCAACCATCTGTCTACTTGCTCTTTACTTGAATGCTGCTAGAGAAAAAAGTCCACAACGATGCTGACTGGTCACACTTTAAATCAGCAGATCTTAATTGGGACCAATTTTGCCTCTCCCCTCACTGGGACATTTGGCAGTCTGGAGACATTCTTGATTGTCACACTGGGGTTTGGTGGAGGGTTCTACTGACATCTAATCAGTAGAAGTCAAGGATGCTGCTAAATATCCTACAATGCACAGGACGGTCACCCACTACAAAGAATTATCTGGCCCCAAGTGTCAATAGTGCTGAGGTTGAGAGATCCTGCTATAAGTTAATATTACAAGTCTCAGGGGCCGGCCCCGTGGCTTAGCGGTTAAGCGTGCACGCTCCGCTACTGGTGGCCCGGGTTTGGATCCTGGGCGCGCACCGACGCACCGCTTCTCCAGCCATGCTGAGGCCACATCCCACATACAGCAACTAGAAGGATGTGCAACTATGACATACAACTATCTACTGGGGCTTTGGGGGAAAAAAAAAAAGGAGGAGGATTGGCAATAGATGTTAGCTCAGAGCTGGTCTTCCTCAGCAAAAAGAGGAGGATTAGCACGGATGTTAGCTCAAGGCTGATCTTCCTCACACACACATGAAAAAACAAGTCTCAAAGAGGCAATCAACACAGGGTCTTAGCACTTGCTGTCCCCTCTGCCTACAACATGGTTCTCTCATGACTGGCTCATTATTTAACAGTCACTTCCTCAGAAAGCTCTCCCTGACCTCACTCCAGAGCAGACCCAACCTCATCACATTATTGCTTTTCTATTGCTTTCAAAACATGCACCATTTTTTAAATGTCTTTATTGCCTGCTTCCTCCCTCTAGAATCCAAGTGACATGAGTGCAGCCTCCTTATCTGTCTTGTTTACAGCTGTATCCCTAGTGTCAAGCATGGTGCCTGATACATTATATAGGCACTCAGAGAATATTTGTTGAACAAGTGGATGAAAATATTGTTAATTTGCAATTTATTCATTCATTTATCAAATATTTATTAGTGATAAAATCCAGACACATCTCTGTGCTCTTGGAACTTATAGTACAGTAGGGAGACTGACACTGAATAAAGAACCACACAAAGTAAATAGTTTCAAACTATGATAAGGGCTTTGAAAGAAAAGTATAGGTATTGGTGAGAGCATTCAGCAGGTGATCTGACTCAGTCTGGGGTGGGGAGTCAGGCCAGGCTTCCCAGGAGAAGTGATATTGGAGCTAAGAGCTGAGGGAAGAGTTGGTTAGCTGGGTAGAGCAAGGTGGGTGGGGGTAGATGGAGAAGAGCATCCAGCCCTAGAGTAGACAGTGTGCAAGGTGCTTTGGTGGGAAGGAACATAGCTACCCTTCAGGAACAGAGACGGCCAGTGTGGCTGAAGCACAGAGAGTCTGGTCAGCCATGGTGTGACATTTATTTGCCAAATCCAACAGGGCAATAGGAGCAAAGGAGTGCCATTGGAAGATTTAAAAAATTTTAAACAGGAAGTGACAAGATCAAAGTTTGTAAAAAAAAAAAAAAAAAAAGTCCCTCTGGAGAATAGTGGGGAAGCAGGGAGATTGGTTTGGAGGCAGTTGCAGTGTGGGGACAAGAGGTGATGGTGGCTTGTCCTGAGGTGGTGGCAGTGAGCTTGGAGAGAAGTTGGATAAACTTAAGTAATGAAAAACATGGAATTTTAGAGCTGGAAAGCACTTAAAAAGCCCCTCACGGTTAATCAAAAAGTAGAACAATAAAAATGAATAATAAAGAGTTCATTAAAGTCTGCATTTTACAGAAAAGCAGGCTAATTAGCTTAGCCAGAGGGGACCCTTAATAAGTTTATGAATAAAAGAAGGAAAGAGAGAATGAGAGGGAGGAACAAAGATGGGAAATGTGAGAGAGTTAAGGTAAAAAAAGGAGAAAGAAAAATGAAATGAGAGAGACAGTAATAAATGTGTGTGAGTCTGAGGTGTGAGGAGGTTGGAGAAGAGGTAGATACAGGGGGGCCAGCGATGTGCACATAGGAAAATGCAGAGAAAGACTACTTGGTGATTTCGGTGCTCCCAAGGGGTTGGAGATAGGGAAGGAAGGTAGACTAAAAGAGAGGGGAGTGAAATAGGAAGCAGGAAAGGCAGGAAGGGGGAGATGACTAAAGATGTGGGAGGAATGAGTAAATGGGGGATGCTTGGAAAAGATGTCTTGGAGGAAGGATGGGCAATAGCTTGGGGAGAATAAGAGCAGAAACCTGAGGGTGAGGTGGGAGTCTGAGGCGTTAGGGTGAGCCAGACGTTAGGGTGGACAGAACCGGGAGGGGACGGGAGAACTCACACAAATAGGCAGGTCCCGGCTCAGAATGAAGGAAAAAGAAATGCATGTATGGCTGGGGGGAGGAGGAAGAGGGAAGGGTGGCGGGCAGGTTTGGAGAGACTCCAAGGGAGGGGAACGATGGGTGTGGCCAAGACTCTGACCTAGCCCTTACCCTGCTCCCCACATTTTACTGGTTTCTAGTCTCAGTGGTATCTTCTTTCTGCTACGAGGACCCTTGATGCGGGAGGGGACAGTGACCGCAGGGAGGTGGGGTGTGAAGGGCCCAGGCAGTAAATCATGTCAGGGATCGGAATGGGGGCCCAAGAAGATTTGGGGTGGTGGGGCGCCATGTCTGGAAGCCGGGCGTCTGTTGGAGGGCAGGGTAGGTGGGCGACGGAGAGCAGCCGAGGGCGGGTGGGTGCTGGGGCAGTGGCTCTGGGCGTGGAAACTCCAACAAGGCTACTGAAGTGGAGAGTTCTGAGGGATTGGAGCTAGGGCTACTGAAGGTGGGATCGGCTAGGATAGGAGACTGAAGAAACAGGAGAAGAGCAGAGGGAGGGGGTGAAAGTAGGGCGGGGCGAAGAGCGCCTAGAGTAGAAACCAGGAGTCCCAGCGGGGTGAAAGGCGGGGCCAAGGCTGGCCAGAGGCATCCCCTCCGCCCCTCCCCGCCCCCCCACCTCCAGCCCCTGGCTCCGCAGCGTCCTGGGCGCACCTGTTGGGGGAGAGGGGAAGGGGCATCCTGGTGCCCGAGGGAAGTCGAGTCCAGAGGGGCTAACTCTGAGCTTGGGACGCCTGAGAAGCCTCCGCCTCCTCTCCATCTGCGGTCAAAGCCCGGCAAGCGAAGGGGCGTGACCCTGGTGCTCAGGTTTCTTCCTCTTCACCTGGGCAAGGAGGGGTGGGGGCCAGGACTTCCGGCTCAGGTGAGTGTCCCTTCGGTGACGTCAGGTCACCCTCGGCCGCCCCTCCAGTCCCGCCCCCGCTCTCGCGCTCCCGGTGCCCGCGGGGGCGCGCCCCCGACGCCCTACATATACTCAGGTGCGCCGCACCTGTCGGCTCGCACCTGCTGACCGCTGAACAGCCTCTCCGCACGGCAGCCTCGGGCGGACAGCCCAGGGCACTTTGGGGACTTCCAGCATCCAGGACCGCGCCCATACGGCCCCTCCACCTTTTGTTTAGGTAGGGTCGCCAAGGGCGCGGGAGGGAACCGCCTGGCCTTCGCGGATCGCTTTTGTCGGCCACCAGTACTCCGGGCGTAACCTGTTCCCTCTGCCCCTGTGAGACCCTCGCCCCGCCGGAGGAGTCGGTTTGTGTTTACCTCGGGTGTCAAGAAGATTTGCAGTCACTCGACCAAAAACTTTTTTGTCTCTTTGGGTGACTTAAAACTCCACCCCAAGTTGTCTTTTGTGGGGTCAAGGTTTGTTTGTTTTACTGCAGAGTCGCCCACCCGGCGCCCCTAGTCTTTTCCAAGGGCGGAAATGGCCAATTCGGGCCTGCAGCTGCTGGGCTTTGCCATGGCTGTGCTGGGCTGGGCTGGCCTGGTGGCCGCCACTGCCATCCCTCAGTGGCAGATGAGCTCGTACGCGGGCGACAACATCATCACGGCCCAGGCCATGTACAAGGGGCTGTGGATGGACTGCGTCACGCAGAGCACGGGCCTGATGAGCTGCAAATCGTACGACTCGGTGCTCTCCCTGTCGGGTAAGGCCGCAGGACCGACGGGGCGGACGCGCCCAGGGCCGAGGTCGCGGGGTGGGTTGCTGGGCAGGGCCCGCGGCCCCACGACCGACGCCCTGGTTGCCGGGGAGCAGGCGGGGGAGGAGGAAGCGGAAGCGGTCGGGCCGTGGCAGTGGGGCTGGGCCGGAGCGGGCCGGGGTTCTGGCGGCCCATGTGGGCCTGCACCCCGGCAGGCTGCGCCCCTCTTCCGCTCCCAGCAGGCCTCCTTCTCGGCTTGGTGCCCGGCGGCCCAAGCCCCTCAGGGGGAGCCGAGCCCTAGGCGGGGGTCTCCCCTCCCCCACCGCCCTGGGCAGGCAATGGTCTCCGCCATCTCCCGCCCTTTTCTCCCCGACAAAAGGCCGCGCGGGGCGGAGGCCGCGGGGTCGGACCGAGGGCCGAGGAGCCATGCGCTCTGTACGACTTGGGCCGCCGCCTTTGGCCTCTAATCTTATCGGCTGATTAGCCGAAGCCGCAAACCCGGTGGCTCCGATAGTGGGGTCAGAGGTGGGACGCAGAGCGAGACCTGCGGCCCTGGCGGGGGCTCCGGCCACCGCCTCCGCTTGTCATTGCTGTCCCCTTTCACCCTTCCCCCGGCCCGGGGCAGTTTCATCGAAACCCTGGCGCCCCGGGCGGGTCCTACAGCAGTGGGCGGGGCGGAGCAGGAAGGCTGCGGAGTCGGAAGCCGGCGGGATCCACCCAGCTCAGGCCCCGGACTTCGTCGCGGGGCGGGGAGGCCGTGACCCGCTGCGGGATCCAGCGCCCGTCTAGTTAGTGTGCCTAGTTAGTGTGCCCGGCGGGCGGCTCGAAGGCTGGAGCCGTCGGAGGGCCTCCTGCATTTCCAGCAATGACGGCCTCCTTCACCCTTCACTGCAGCGTCCCTGCAAGCCACCAGAGCCCTAATGGTGGTATCCCTGGTGCTGGGCTTCCTGGCCATGTTCGTGGCCACGATGGGCATGAAGTGTACAAACTGTGGGGGAGACGACAAAGTGAAGAAGGCCCGTATAGCTATGGCCGGAGGCATCATTTTCGTCGTGGCAGGTGAGCCACAGGTTCAAGGGCCCTCCCCTCTTCCATCTTGGAGGAGTAAGGGTGGGCAAGGTACTGGTTTGAGGGCCACAATACTGAATCCTAATTCTCTCTCCAGGTCTTGCTGCCTTGATAGCTTGCTCCTGGTATGGCCACCAGATTGTCACAGACTTTTACAATTCGCTGGTCCCCATGAATGCTAAGTAAGTAGGGGACCCGTGCCTAAGAGGACAGGTCTGGGGTCAGGAGACGCAGGCCAGGGTTTCTGACCCCAATCTTCTCTCTGTAGGTATGAGTTTGGTCCCGCCATCTTCATTGGCTGGGCAGCGTCCGCTCTGGTCCTCCTGGGAGGTGCCCTGCTGTCTTTCTGCTGTCCTGGAAGTGAGAGCAAAGCTGCGTACCGTGCACCCCGCTCCTACCCTAAGCCTAACTCTGCCAAGGAGTATGTGTGAGCTGGGACCCCTCTGCCCCAGCCTGGCAGCCCATGGGTGTGCCCAGACACCTGAGAGGACCTGAGGCAGAGAACCCAGCCCCTGGGCAGGGTGCGTAGCAGAAGCCTCTGGTCACTCCAGCCCTGCACACCGTGTACAGTTCCCTGGGGGGGGGGTGGATGGGGGAGACGAAAAGAGGGGAGGTTGTGCTTTTTGTACAGTAATAAACAGTATGTTTTGGAAAGTAGGCTTCTTTTTTTTTTTTTTCCCTTAAGGCCCTTTACTTTCTTCCCATCCAGAACCTTGCAGGGAGCCTGGAACCTAAAGTACACCTGCTTCAGTTAAAAAGACACTTATCGAGCACCAATAGTGTGCAAGGCCATCTCTGCCCAACCATTTCACTGTCATTCAGGCCCTAATACTCTGACTATTGACTACAGAAGCCTCAGGTGCTTGGCTTCCCTCATCCATTCCCATCCTCCAGTTCCTTCCATTCCCAACTCTTGCTTAAATAGCTCCCAAAGAGTTTCTTTTTTAATAAAAAAATTAAGATTTTTATTAGGCTTGGGGGGAGTTTCTATTCTCTCACCTTCCCCCATGCCCCCATCGCACTTTTGGCCCTGCTTAGATGTTGCTCCCTCATGGGTCATAGGGCAGGGCCTCCGTAGACACAGGTAACAAAGGTGCAGCAGGGACAGCGCAAGGACAACATGAACAACAGAAGGATAGTTAGGGACCCAAGGTCTTCCTCCTCCCCTTCCAATTATAGTCCAGTCAGATCTCCTGGCCAGTCAAACATCTAGGTCATCATCTGGGTCTTCTTGGTCCAGGTCATCATAAGCATCTGGCTCATAGAAGATGTGGCTGGTAGCCTGACCTGGCCCAGGGCACAGTAGAGCCTGCTGTCTGAAGACAGAGAAGGAGAGAATTGGTGTTGGTAAGGGTGGATAATAGGGGTCATGTCTGGATACCCTCTTCCTGGTGACTGCCTCCCTCTTTGGCCTCCATGTTTTCTTGGTCCAAGTCCCTTTCTCTGACCTCTTTGTTTAGCTAGTACTGAAGCACCCTTTTGGTACTGGAATTGATACTGTTATACTGCTCTCCTAATAATACCTTAAGTTCTTAGCAGCTTGAGGGCAAGGATCTTGCTGTAGTCTTGCTTCATCCACCCACACACTGGGCACAGAACAACAGGCATCTGCTAAGCCCTTATTAACCTGCCTTTGCCATACCCATCCAGTTTCCTGTCCTCCTAGCACCACTGCCTAGAGATAGGGCCACTTCCTCGGGGTCTGGTCTGGCTCAGCCCAGGCTCAGATTGCTCTGGGGATGACCGTGGAGCTGGGACCCAAGGCTCTAATGGAGAGAAGAGACATAAAAGCCCTTTGCCATTGATGGGGTATGGGTGGGTAGAGAACCACTCCCCAGACTTGTCTCTGGAGGTGGACTTCAGCCCCTATAAAGTCAGGTTAATCAACAACCTGCTGTTGCCCCACCTCTCAGGCCCAGATGCTGGGCTCTACTCAGGGATCCGAGCACCTAGGCCCCAACCTTACTTTTCAGAGCTGAACTGGAAGGGCAGGGTCAGGCTATCTTTGGCTTCTTTCTCTTTCTTGGATAGGTGAAGGTTAAATGTCAAATGAGTCGTGGGGTCCACCTGTGGGTATAAAGGATGCTGCCACTCTGCCCCATCGCTGGAATCCCTGACCCTACCCCCAACCTCTGCAGTTTTTAGTCTCCTCTCTCCTTTTGCCAGATCCCAAACTCCATTCCCTTGTTCCAGCCCTGGCACACTCAGATACCGGGGGTGTGTGAGGATCTGGGTGGGGCTGGGACTCTAGCCGGGGCCCCCCTTGGAGATCCAGGCTGAAGTCAGGCAGGATGGAGAACCACTGAGTCTGGGGAAAGAAAGAAGAGTATCAAAAAGGTTTTTTCCATCTTATTGAACAAACCAAAGAGAACTCGGGACCTAACACCCCCAGCCCCGAGTCATCTATGTAATTGGCTGCTTTCACCTCTTGCTCTCCACATCTCACCCCTTCTTCAAACCTCTCTATATGAACTTGTTCCTTCTCCCCCACCAGGAACCACTCAGTCTTTCCTCCTTTTCCATTTCCTGGAAGGCAGTATCTTTCATTGATTAAGCTCAGAAGATGCGAGTCAGGCGATCTTGAGTTCAAATCCTGGCTCTACCACTTTCTGTCTGTTATCTTGGGTAAGTGACTCAAATTTAAACGTTCCTGGACTTTACTTCCCGGACTGCAGAATGGAGATAATAAAACCATCTACCTCACAGGGTAGCTGTGAAGATTAAATGAGGGAAACGATGAAACAATGAAAGCACAGAGAAGTACTCAATCACACCATTTTTTTATTGCTTTTCCCATTAAGACTTCCCCTCTTTCTGACCCCAACCCCTAGTCCTCCCATGCTTCTGCTGACCTGATGGGTTGGGCGCTGTTGGGGCCTCCGATAGAGGATGTGGGCAGAGGCCTGACCCATTGTGCCACTCAGGGTCACCTCAGTCTGAGCAAGGCTGCTCAATGCTCCCACGGGGCCTGGGCCATGAAGCTCTTCATGTAGCAGGCCCAGCACATGCACCTGCTCCACTGGGGAGCTGTCACCTGGAGAAGGACAGGAAATGTACGGCACAAAGGGCAGCAGAGAGCATTCAGGGTAGAGGCCTGGGATCAAAGTGAAGAGGGAAGAAGGAAGGAGAGACCCACATTCCATCACAGCTTTGCCACAATCCTAACTTACATCGCCAGTTTCACTGCCCTGCTCTGAGCCTGTCAGCCCTCACCTTTAACACACTTCCCAATTCCAATTGGCATCACTCTGACTTCAGTCCTCAGGACCCCCTCATGGACTCCAGGATGGAATTAATGCTTTCATCATCTGGTCTTGGCTTACTTTCCAGCTTCAACTCTTTACACACTACACTACTTGCAATTTTGGGAATTTGCCAAGATCCCAGTCAGTGCCTTTGATTCCCTTCCTTTTTGGGAGCATTTACAGAGTGTCAGGCACTGCACTAAACACTTTAACATTTCAATCCTTATAAAAGTCAGAATTTTTAGATTGAACCAGAGAAATTGCTGATATTTGACACGTGACCATATCTGACCTACGAAAACAGCAATTCCAAGTGGTCAATCTAATACTAGAAACTCCCCCACTTTCACAGAGGAAACTGAAACAATGAGATCAAGCACCTTAATACAAAGCTGAGTATCTGACTCCAAAGCCCATTCTAGAACCCACAGTGTACTTCAGGGTTAGTCCCAGTGCCCCTGGCCTGACCAAATTTGCCTGGCTGACCCCTTGCTCTTTAAGACAGTTCCTTCCTTAAGGTGCTCTGTGCATGTTCCTTTACCAAGACAGCCCTTATCAGACTATCTTGGAACTGCTTGTTTACTCTCTGTATCCTTTATGGGACTTTGAGCTCCTGGAAGGCAAGAACCTGAGTACAGTTAGTTTTTATTTTCCTGTTATCTAGAATTGTACCTGACACATTGTATATATTTAATATTTATTGAATGAATGTTGAATGGATAAAATGAATGAGTAAGAAAGAACTTGGAGAAGAAAAAAAAAGTGATTAGTAGATGGGATTATGGAGAAGTCAAGAACTAGAATAGAGGTTGAAGAGATGAAAGAAGGTCCAACTGGAGATCCTTGATATGTTTTTTCTTAGGGTGGAAAGGCGCACATTCCTCAGCAGGGGAAGATGTATGAGGGGAAGTAACAAAGGAAGGGTCTCACCAGGGCGGGAGTCCTGATGGCTCAGAGCATGCAGGGTCTGGCAGAGTGTGGTGCAGGGAAGGTGAAGCAGCAGCCAGCTGAGTGAATCCAGAGCAATGGTGACAGGACCAGGATTTGTCCTCCTGCACATTGCTCTCAAGGCTCCCAGGGGCCCCCCAGGAAGGGCTTCTGCAGTCTTTGACCAGTTGAGAGGGTCTCTGAAGAGGTCATGGTAAACCAGCCTGCATAAGGGAAAATAGGAGACAACATAACACCGCCCCCTCCGCCTAATCTTGAACTTCATCCTCTGATCTATGTAGCTCTGCTTTCTCGATTGAATATCCTAAATTTTGTGAAAGGTAATTACTGAGAGGTAGAATATAGTGATTGAGAGCACAGACTTTGGTGTCAGACAGCCCTGACCCTCAGGCTTGGCTTTGCTACTTGCCCAAGGTCACCTAACTGATAAATCACTTAATCTCTTTAAGACTCAGTTTCTTCATTTGTAAAATAGGGATACAAACCTCTTGACATTTAGCACAGTCCTTGATACTAAGTACTTGATAAATGTTAGGTATCATCATTATCAATTATTTCCTGAGTGGTGCCTAAAGCACATCATTCTTTAGATGGATAAAGAGAAAGGAGAGGACATGAGACATGGTTCCTGCCTGTAGAATACCTTAGAGAAGGTCAAGAATTAAGTCATGTGGTAGTAACTACAAATAAAATAGCAGTTCAGGAAAAGGAGTCTGGCATGGGCTAGAAATCCTGGGAAAGCTTCATGGTGGCAGAACTTGTTCCCAGATACCTTTCTATCTTCTGCTTCTCTTGTGAATGCCATCTGAACATACAGCATCATCTCTAACACAATGGCTGATACAAAATGAGGGCTCAACAGATAGAGGTAAACTATTATTATTATCCACTGAGCCACCCAGACCAGGAAGTAATCTCTCTTAACCAGGCATTTAGATGGGTTCAAGGACCTCCTGATCTGGATGCTTTCCTCTACACTACATCAGTCTATGAGTCCTGGAAATTCTACCTGCTCAACTCCTTTTATGTTTGTCCTAAACTCTGCCTCCCTACTGCCACTGCCTTAAGGCAGGCCTCTGTCATCTCCTATCATTATTCTCTAAGATTCATTAGGACAGGGACCATGTCTGCCTCATTCACTGCTGTATCTCCAGTGCCTAGCACAGCAGATGGTTCGGAACTGGTGCTCAGTACATATACACCTGATTGAACCTGGATTACTGCAATAGTCTTCCCACTTGGTCTCCCTATCTCCAGGCTGCGCGCTTCCAACACATTCTCCACACTGTAGTCCACCCTAGACTAATCTAACAGCTATGATGTCACCACTCTACTCCCAAATATTCAAATGACTCCCCACTGCCTTTAGGATAACATCTAAACTCCTTTTCGTGTGTTCTGTAAGACCTTTTACTATCAAGTACCTCTTTGTCTGACCTCAGGAAGCGCTTCCACCTCCCACGAACAGGTATGCCTTCCACACCTCTCTAATTTTGCAAAAGCTGTTCCCTCTACCTGCACGACAAGTCCCTCAGCAGCTTACAGTTAGTGTTGATGCGAGTTTGGAATCCACGTCTGGATTAAGCATCGCCAGATTTCCAGTAACTCAAAAGGCATAACGTGTTTATTCTTACCCTTCAGTTCAGCCTCTGGTGCTAACCTGTACTGTTGGCCTTTTATTACTCTCTTTTTCTCTCCCAACTTCTACGGTCTCTACTTTGGATTCTCCAGCTACCACTCATCATTCCTCTTACTAATTCTTGCCTCACGAAAGACCCATATCCATTCATTCTATGAATATTTAAGTAGTTGCTAATACACACGAGGTTCTGCGCCTCCTGCTGTAAGGGAAGTTTCTCAGCAATAGAGATCCCACATCCAATTAAATCTCTTCCAGTTTGTACTTACCGGCTGTTGATACTGGAGTCAAAACCTTCACGAAACTCTTCCTCGCTCACTTCACAGCCCAGGATGTGGACTTGTTCCCCACTGAGGCAGAGATGCGGGGAAGTGTCAGAGTGGGGCCCACGCTTCCTTCCCGGGGAGGACAAGGAGACGCTGCCGAATACTCACCACACTGCAGATTTCTTGATAAGCGCCTTCAAGAGACTGCGCCCCTCCCACTCCACGGAGTCTGGGGAGAGCGAGAGATAAACAGCGTGAGAACACTTACGTTTCCGCCTTCACGAACTCGTCGCGACCTCCACCCCTAGCCTGTGACCCGTGGCCCTTCCTTTCCACTTGCGCTCCCTGAGCCCGGCTCCGAAGCCCCTGTGCCTGTGGCGCTCACCCCTCAGCAGCACCAGGCCGCCAAGGGCCAAAAGCGACTCCAACATCTCCAACTCCCGCCCGCTACCTCTTCGGACGCTCTCTGATGGCGTCAGGGCCCGCTGCCCCGCCCCTTCCAGGTGAAAGGGGCGGGGCATCCATGATTCCTGCCTCCACTAAGACCCGGCATAGTCTGGAATGAGAGGTGATTATGTGCAATATTTCAGGGATGCGCACGCGGAGGGGCCCGTCCCGAGCCCTGGCGCACAGACGTACGGCTGACGCCCCTCTCTGCATTCCCACCTTGACTAGGCAGGAAGAGCCGTTGGGGCAGTTGTCCGCGGGTGGGGGAGGAGACCGCTCGAGCCCGACGGACGGGTCCGAGCCTCGGGGGCAAGTGACGTCACCCCGCCCCGCCCATGCCGTTCTAGGCGGGCGTCGGCTTCTCCTCTGGCCCCGCCCTCCGCCACCTTCTGCGCGTGCGCGATACTGCGGCCTTGTTGGGGGCAGTCCGCTCTCCTTGTCCCCACCCCCATAGACCGTGTAGGGGGAACATTAGTCCCGGTGAAGCGAATACACGTCACCACCGGAAGTAGTGTCAGAGGGGAAGAGGAGGGGGGAAAAAAGGAGGAGGGAGCTCTTTGGGCGGTAAAATGGCGCCTGTCAGAGTGGGAAATCCAGCTGTAGAGGCTGCAGCCCCGCTCCCCAGCGGCTAAGGCACCCCCGACCTCGGGGAGGGGGAGGCCGCTCCTATCCAGCCATCCGCGCCCTTCGGCTCCCCCTCCCCCTCCTTCCCCGCTCCTTCGCTCAGCTGGCCTGTTCGCCGCCGCCGCAGCCCTTCGCGCGCCGCTGCCCCCACCCGCCCCCTTCCCGCGGGCAGCCCCCTAGCGCGCCTGCGCAGCAGGCCACCCTCCGCTTCCCCCTTCCCCTCCCCCTTCCTTCTCCCTCCCTCCCTTCTCCCTAGTCCCCCTCCCCCACCGCCCCCTCCCCCAATTCTCCATCCCCTTCTAGTCTGGTCTCGGAGGACCCCGTCCTAGCCCGACCTGTCTCGGCCCGCAGCCTCCGCGAAGCCGTCGGTGCCACTCCCCGCCCATGTGGGCCCCCGCGGGCTGCCCACGCCTGTCCCCCAGCTCCCGGTTCTGCTGGGCTTTCCCCTCGCCCAGGGTGGCTTTCTGAGCTGCCCGCTCCGTGCCCCTCTCTGCAGCCTCTCCTGCCACTCGGGGCCCCCGTTCCCCCTCCCGGCGGCGGGGGGCTGCCCCCGGGGGGCTGGCGGAGCTGGGCCGCGGGGGCCCCGGGGCCGGCGGTGCCGGGGTCATCGGGATGATGCGGACGCAGTGTCTGCTGGGGCTGCGCACGTTCGTGGCCTTCGCCGCCAAGCTCTGGAGCTTCTTCATTTACCTTTTGCGGAGGCAGATCCGCACGGTGAGCTGGGGTGGGCGCTGGTGATGGTGGGGACCTCAGTGAGCGGTGCTCACGGGTTTTTGGAAAGTGTCGGGCCTCTGTTTGGGCCTAGGAACGGAGTCCTGCTGTCAGTTTCTCCCGTTAGAGAATTTAGGGCCCCCTTAGCTGGACATGGGGTGGGATAGGGAGGAAGGAGACCCTTGTAGTAGAACCGAGGTGGGGGCGGCCTAACCGGGGACAGGATTTGGCAACTCTTGGGGGCTAGGGTGGTGGGTGGGGCGCTCTTTAAGAAAGCTGGAGTTGTTGCTAAAGAAACCGAGAGGCGGGGAACACCTGTTTGATGGCAGCAGATCTGTTGATGTGGGCTTGTGAAAGACCCTCCTATTATTCGGAACTTCCGTGTGTGTTTGGTCTTATAACAAGGGAGAGACGGGCTTATGTGTCAAGGGTGGGGGCGAGTGGGAGGGCATATGTGGCAAACAAGAATGGGAACTTGGGAAAAGCCCTCGGTGTGAAGGAGAAACCCCTGCGGTTGGCAGGAAGGGAACTCCTCCAAAAAAGCCTGAAAACTTATTTCATAGTGTATCTGAATTTATTGAGACCCTGGGACTAGAAAAGATGCATTTATGATGGGCTTCTTTAGTTGTGGAAGGGAGCACATTAAAGTTTGGGTGTCCGAATCAGAAAACAGTGCTTGTCAGTTGTAGAACTTGAATCTGAGGGCATGTTAGTTGCTCCAGGAGACCTTAGCATTATGAGGGATACTGTGGGGAGTGGAGACTGTGTGAATGTACCCAAATATCTCCCGGTTCCCTCCCCCATAGCTTTTCTCCAAGGTCAAAGCTCCTTAGGCTAACATCATTTAATGAATGTGCTCTTGTGTTCTCATCCTCACTGGGGAGATTCCTCTGAAGGAATCTGGGGAGAATTCAGTGAGCTGGGGTGCAGAGGTTCTGTGGTCTTTACTCTTTGGCCTACCTCAATAAAACTTGAAAAAATAAAACCAGGTAGGGGCTGCTTAGGTCATGGACTTTCCAGAAAGCCCTGGTGGTGGTTGACTTGTTGATTTGGGGGAATGGGCCTGGCCTTGGATTCAGTCTCTCCTTTACCGGTCTACTCCCTTCACTTCCTGATTTAGGGTGAGGATTGTTCTGGGTGGTCATGGTTGTAGGCAGGGCTATTTCCCTAAGACAGGAGTTAGAACCCAAGAAGAATTTGGAGTCAGAGGTGCTGAGATGTGTGTGGGGCTAGCTCCTGGGGTTTTCTTTACATGTTAGCTGCCATCCTTTCTGTTTGGTCTCACTCCGAGCATCCCCTCTTCTCTTCCTAACACATCAGTTTTCTGTTCTGGGTGCAGGGAGTAGTGCTCCAGTGCATCCAGAGGCTAGTTACTTGCAAAATTGCTCTCCTCTGGGCAGCACTGACCCCACAGCCTTTTGTCTTCCCTTCCCTTCCAATGTGGTTTCTCCTCCCGCCCCCTTTCTGGCAGTTGCTTGGAGCATTCCCTACATGCCCAGCATGTGCAATCCGAGATAGCAGGGCAGGACACCCGAGCTGTTGCGGCTCTCATCACAGCCCAGGGAGAAAAGAAGGGCAGATGCCTTGGGATTAGGGGTAGAGGGCCCTTTGGTTTGCAAGGGGGGAGCCTGCTTTTGGTGAGGCTTGGGGCCTAGGGATGGACTGAAGAGCATTTGTCTATGTTTTAGAAGAAAAGAGCAGAGGAGTGAATTGTCGGGCTTTGCATGGGGGATATCCGAGTATTAGAAATAGGAGCCTCTAGAGAAGGCTTGGAGAAGCTGGAAGGCTGAGGTGGTGACGTCCTTGTCCCTTCCTCACCTCTCACTCACAGTCCTTACTTCACTCTGGCCTTCTTGATACTCTATTGGTCTGCCTGGCAGATGGGGCTTTCCAGTGTTCTCTGCCTTGCCCTGGGTACCAGGATAAGGAGGCTGTTCAGAGGGATGAGGTTCTCTGCAACTTGTGACTTGGCTAGTAGAGACAGAAATGGACAGGTGGCTGGTTAAAATAGGCCTGGTGGCCCCTAGCCAGAGGAACTTAGCTGACTTGACAACCCCCGGATTCCCTCATCCTCTATTCCCCTTAGGCACCCAAGGACCTCCCCTCCTGACTCCTACTCCCTGTCCACTAAGGAATCTGAGGTTCTCAGTTCCCAAGTGGAAGTGATGGGAGTTGTCACAAAGAATCCCTGGGGTGGAGGTGGGGAGGGCAGTGCATTTCTTTGTTCAGGGTAGCAGCATAATATCATGATTAAGAGGGCAGGTTCTTGGGTGGGACTGCATGGGTACAATCCCAGTTTCACCACTTCATCCATTCTAATGTTGTGACCATCCCTGCTACAGTGTTCTAGGAATACAACCATGATGGAGACAGAATCCATGTTCTCATGGAATTTTCATTCTAATTGAGGAGACAAACAACTAAATAAGATAATTCCTAGCTCTATGGCCTTAGGCAAGGTATTTAACCTCTCCAAGCCTCGGTTTCTTCGCCTTTAAAACAGAAATGATATTATTGTTATTAGGGTTGTTTTGAGGATTAAATGAAATAATCCTAAATCAGTTACGTGGTGCCCAACATACGGTAACTGTTCAACACACGCTACCTATCATTGTTACTGAGGAAGATTTCCTTGTCAAGAGTTCTAATCCTCTCCCTTGTTATTCTTAGGTAATTCAGTACCAAACTGTTCGATATGATATCCTTCCCTTATCTCCTGTGTCCCGGAATCGGCTAGGTGAGTTTGCTGGCTGGGAAGACTGTTTTAAGGTGAGGTAGTAGGGTTCAGGGTCTGGGCTGGAGGTTGGTTGGTGTTATCCCTTCCCGTTGTGGTTCAGGCCAGGTGAAGAGGAAGATCCTGGTGCTGGATCTGGATGAGACACTTATTCACTCCCATCATGATGGGGTCCTGAGGCCCACAGTCCGGCCTGGAACACCTCCTGACTTCATCCTCAAGGTGTGTGGTGGTGGGAAGTGATGGAATGGTTATGTCCATTATTCTGCTTAGACCTGGACTCCCTTTCCTGGTCCCAGAGAGTCTTGTCCCCGTCTCCATTTCTTGGCACCAGTGTGAGCCTGAAGGGGGGAAGCAGGCAGTGGGAGGGTGGGGGGTGTCCTTTAGGCCTGTGTTGTGCTCAGGACTTCTCCCAGCCTTTCACCGTTCCTCTACAGGTGGTAATAGACAAACATCCTGTCCGGTTTTTTGTACATAAGAGGCCCCATGTGGATTTCTTCTTAGAAGTGGTGAGTTTGCGCAGCTAAAGGGAGCTCTGTGATGAAGGAATGGTTTTAGGGCTCTGGGAATTTAGAGGATCTGAGGAAGTAAGGGGTGAGGAGAAATGGGTCAGGGCAGTTTTGGAGAGGGGAGGTTGTGGGATGATTAGAAAATGGCTGTTGATAGTTTGGGTTCATTTGTTGTGTTGATGTAATTCTATTTTCCACAGGCTTCCTGCTCTTTTGTTCTCACCTCTCTGAATCTTAAGGGTGTATGGTGCCTAAGACTCTGAGTTTGGGGGCGTTCAGAATTTTGTGTTCCCAGAGACATTCGATGTTGCTGAAAGGCCTGAAGGACTAGACTGGATTCCTAGTGAAAGGGAACTGTATGTCTAAATGAATGATCACCTCTTCTGACACCTCTTTCCTGCGATCTATTTCAGGTGAGCCAGTGGTATGAGCTGGTGGTGTTCACAGCAAGCATGGAGATTTATGGCTCTGCTGTGGCAGATAAACTGGACAATAGCAGAAGCATTCTCAAGAGGAGATACTACAGACAGGTAAGGGGCTCGAATCCAGGTCTAAGAGTTAGGCTTGGGAGGCAGACCACCAGGGCAGGATTTGAGTTTGAGGCAATTTGCCCTGGAATGGGACCTTCTGGGGATGAGGGGGAGGTGTATGGTATGATCTCTGTTGTGAGAGTTGGCTGCCCGTGGGTGTTGTTGGGATTAGGGGAGCAGTCACAGAGCGCGAGTCTCCTTCTGATGCCAGCTCACCTTGCCTTCCAGCACTGCACTTTGGAATTGGGCAGCTACATCAAGGACCTCTCTGTGGTCCACAGTGACCTCTCCAGCATTGTGATCCTGGATAACTCTCCAGGGGCTTACAGGAGCCATCCAGGTATGGGGAAGGTGGTGAGTCTGGCAGGACCAGGAAATGGTTTTGAGGAGGTATTTTGAATGCATAGAGCTGGGATTCCCTGGTTTACTGTAGGTCAGGATGTAAATTGTTTCTCTTTTAAATGAGACGTCCCTCCTCTGCCACATGTCCACTTCATACATTAGATTTCCCATATCAAACTTGCTTCAGGTGAGACACAATGGCAATAAATTTTGCTAAAAGTCTCACACTAGTATGAGATATGGTGATTAAAGTTTAATTTTATTTCGGAGAATAAATCAGGAAGGTTTTACTTAGGTTGTTGAGTTTGGGCGGTGGGGGTGGGGTGCAGTTCAGTGAGGTATGTATTTAAGGAATGATCCCTACCCCGAAATAAAAGAAAAAAACACTGTGTCTCTCTTGAATTCTTTGTTTCTTCTCATGTGTATTTTCACTCAACCTAGACAATGCCATCCCCATCAAATCCTGGTTCAGTGACCCCAGTGATACCGCCCTTCTCAACCTGCTTCCGATGCTGGATGCCCTCAGGTAAGAGAAGCTAGACATTTAGATTTCCGAGGAAAGGAGGAGGTGGGGGATCCCAAGAGGGAATAAAAGTTTGTCCTGTTTTACTTAACTTATCTCTCTTCCCTTAAGAACTTAGCATTTGAACTGAGGTCTTCTTACACTAAAGCTTATCACTTTTAGCCATTGAATTTTGGGCAAACTGAATCTCAGTCTCATCCAGTGAAAATGGTGATCATTTCTGCCCCACGTCTCCAATGAGGCTGCCTTACCGTAGTGTTGTGAGGATATCAACTATAAGGACTCTACCAATGCAAGTTATTGTCATCCCAGGTTCACCGCTGATGTTCGTTCTGTGCTGAGCCGAAACCTTCACCAACATAGGCTCTGGTGACAGCTGCTCCCCCTCCACCTGAGTTGGGGTGGGGGGGAAGGGAGGGTGAGCCCTCAGGATGCCGTCTGATGCCCTGTCAAATGGTGAGGACTGCATGGGCAGGGTCTGCCCCTCCCACCCCTCTCTGCCCTGGGAGCCCCGCACTCCATATGGAGTTTGGATGGACACATGGGCCAGACTCTGAAGCAGCCTCACTCTAACTTCGTGTTCGCACTCCCTGGAAACCCTAGACTGGGACATAAGCCGAGGCCTAGGAGAGCCGAAACAGTGTCTGTGTTGGAGAGACAGGACTGGCCAGAGTGAGAGACATTTGGTAATCTAGGAGGCTCAAAGAGAAGCCAAGCCAGCTTTGTTGTGATTTGATTTTTTAAAAACTCTTGTACAAAAATGACTAATTCTTCACTCCAAGGGCTGGGCTGTGGGTGGGAAACTGGGATTTTGGGCCACTGGATTTTCCCCAAACTTGTCCCCCCTTACTTTTCACTCTATTTTCCCTTCTTCCTAGATTCACTCAGATCTGTAACCACCTTCCTCTTTTTTTTCTTTCCTCTCTTTTAAACCACGCATTATAACTTTGAAACCAAAGCTGCCCTAGAGCCTTCTCTGGGGTTTGGGGAAATGAGGGGAGGGGTCATGGTTTACACCCTCCCTGTCCCCTAGGCAGAGGGGAAAGAGACTGCTGTTGGGCCCAAGAAGGGTAGGAGGAAAGGTGGTGCTGGCTTTTCGGGGATGGAAGAGTTAACATCAATATCTATGCTTTGGCGGGAAGGGTCTTAGTGACAGGATGGGCGGCCTGGCAGGGAGTGAAAGGACAGCTGCGTGTCCTGAAGGAACTTGAGCTTTAGCGCAGTATAACATAGAAGTATGAAAGGAGGAGAAACCTGGACGCCAGAACAGGCATATAGCTGGAGAGAGGCCGGGCTTCGCTTGGGGGACTGACGTGGACAAGCTAAGCACGGGCTGCCCCCAGGCGGCGGCTGCCCCGGGCCCTCGGTTCTCTCCGCTCCACCCCGGCGCCTCCACCCCTCAGCGCCCTCCTTCCGAAGCCGGCTCTACTTCCTCGCACCCGCCACGTGACGCTCCGCCCTTCTCCAAGATCACATGATTTTTCTGTTACAAATACTTAAAGTGTTCTTCCGCGCTGACGTAGTCCCTACCTTTCGGACCTCCTCTCCAGTCCCTATTGGTCCACTCATTCCTGGAACCTAAGCGTTCTGTGCGTCTCTCCAAATATATATTTCCTTTTTGTTGTCCGTAATTGCCGGAGACCACCTCCTCTGCTTGGGTACTACTTTGTTTTGGTGTCAACGGCCGCCTTTAGCGTACCAGCACGTTTTGTGAATAGCTATCCTTGTAATTATCTCTGCTCTTTTTTTCCTCTACGTTACTTCCAAAAAGAACGTTTGGAGAATCAGGTCTCAAATTATTACCATCTCCTAGCCCTTTTCATTCCCGGCTTCGTGGGGGGAAGGTTGGGAAATGGGTTTTCAGTTACTTTCAACGACAGCTACGTAGCCTGCGTAGCTCACAAGTTGATTCCAAAGCGATTACGCTGACGGCGTGAGGGGGGGCGGTCAGTAGGTGGTGCTACGCTAGCGGCGTTAGGGCTACTGAGCTAGTGGCGTAACATAGCAGGCGGGGCGACCCTTGATGGGCGGGGGCGGGGTTGGTGAATAGGGAAGTGGCGCAAGTCTCGAGATCGCTCCGCTGAATCCGCCCGCGCGTCGCCGCCGCCGCCGCCGCCCCCCGTCCTGGCCCCCCCCCCCCGGGTTCCCTCAGGCCAGCCCGGTCCAGCCCGGTTCCCGGGAGGATGAAGTTCGTGTATAAAGAGGAGCATCCGTTCGAGAAGCGCCGCTCTGAGGGCGAGAAGATCCGAAAGAAATACCCGGACCGGGTCCCGGTGAGGACAGTAGCCAGGGCCGAGGGCGCGGGGCGCGGGCGCTGGCGCTGACGCCACAGCCTGGGCTTGGGTCGGCGACGGGCAGCGCGGGCATCGGGCTGCCGGCTGTGGCGGGGTTGGGAACGAGCCCGAAACTGCTGTCTCTGGGACCGGAGGTGAAAGGAGTCGGGTAGCGGTAGAGCTAGAGGCGAGGGGATGTAGGTGGAGGGAGAGATCTTAGGATTTGTGTGGGAGGCTGTAGGGAGTTTGACAGCCTGAGCTTCACACGGTCGTTCCCCCCAGCTAGCTAGATTTTTGAGATTGAAGCTCTAGTCAGCCCAGACTAGTCATCCCCATCTGATTAAGATAGTTGTTTACTATGACGCCCTCTTCAGGGATCCTGGATATTTAGGTGAGTTCCAGTCAATGGGGTGAGGATCTCTACTCAGGGCTGCACCGCGTGTTCAGAGACAAAGAAAAATGAGTCGGGGGTAGGTTTGGGTGTTGGGAATATTGTTGCTCGAGCTCTTGACAGGTGGAGCTGTGAGGCTGTATACCTGATGTCTCCTAATTTTCATCTTTGTCAGGTGATAGTAGAAAAGGCTCCCAAAGCTCGGATAGGGGACTTGGACAAAAAGAAATACCTGGTGCCTTCTGATCTCACAGGTGGGAACCTGACCCAATACTCAGGTTTGCTTCCTGTTGGGGGGGGTTGCAGTCTCTGTGGGAGGAAGCTCCACATATAGCAGCTGTTCTTTTGAGGGCATTTGTGATCTCTATGACTTTATCACACTTTGTATCTTTGGCAGTTGGTCAGTTCTACTTCTTGATCCGGAAGCGAATTCATCTCCGAGCTGAGGATGCCTTGTTTTTCTTTGTTAACAATGTCATTCCACCCACCAGTGCCACAATGGGTCAGCTATACCAGGTATGGTGACCGGGAAGTAGTGGAGGCTTTTGAGAGGAGTTAGAAGAGTTTGAGGGGAAGAACGTTTTAGGTCAGCAATTCTTGGATTAGCTGGTTTGTTTAGCTCTCAATTTTATCTTTGGCCTTAAAATTTGCGGATTGCCCTGGATTGGGGGTTTGGACAGGCCAGTGGGAGTAGAGAGAAGGGTGAGAATAGTGAGCTGGAGCAACTATTCTGATCCAGACTCTCCCCAGTCCCCTTCCCATTCCAAGGCAGCGGAGAACAGTCTGAGATCTTTTTGCCCAGGACTGCTGTTAGGGATACTACTGCTTGCCACTAGGGCCTGGAGCGAGGGAAGGAGTCAAGGCACTGGTTTTTGGGGTGTTTAGAGAGAATGGTTTTTGAAGAATGTGTCTGGGCAGTGGGTGGTTCAAGTAACTAAAGCCCAGATGCCTGAGCACCATAATTTTCTGCTTTTACCCCAGGAACACCATGAAGAAGACTTCTTTCTATACATTGCTTACAGTGATGAAAGTGTCTACGGTCTGTGAAGCTGCTGCCCCTGAGTTGGGGGGTCCCATTCTACAGAGAGAGAGGTGGCCCCCCTTCCTTGACCTACTCTTCCTCCTTCAGGCTCAAACACCACCTCCATTATTCAGGACCTGCCCTTCCTAATGTTTGAGGCTCTTCTCCAGCCCGTCTTAGCAGGAGGGTTAATGGGGGAGATGGCCACTACTACTTCTCCCTTCTCCTTTCTTCCCCTTTCTCTACCACCTTTGCCACTCTGCTTTAGACTTCTTGATTGTCAATCTCTGTCACATCCAGTGATTGTTTTGGTTTCTCTTCCCTTTCTAACTGCCCAAGGAGCTCAGAACCCCAACAATCCTTTCCTTTCACTACCTTCTTTTTTGTGGGTGGATGGAAGGGACTGAATTGTGGGGGAAGGTAGGAGGCACATCAATAAAGAGGAAACCACCAAGCTGAACTGGATTTTGCTTTGTGTTGCTCCCCTCCCCCTTTTGTTTTTTACTCCTCACTGGTGGGGAAAGAGGTTGGAGGGATAGTAATAGATTTTGGTTTATTTTGTTGATGTTAGGCTTTTCCTTGTGTATAAATAGGGTGCTTTTGTTGTGATGGATGGAATACTCGGAGTATTGTTTCGTGAAACTTCAGTTTTACATACGTGTGTAGTGGGTCCTGATAAAAAGTTTTTTACTGTGGGTTCCTGTGGAGAAAGTTTGAAAGTACCTGCTTTAGAGAAACACATCCAAGTTTGTTATAACCTTTGGGATTAAGGAAGAGATTTTCGTGTGTGGGAGTTGGTAAAAGGACTCTGTCCTCAGTTGCATGTCACTTGGCCAGACTTTGTGCCGGCGTGTGGGATCCAGTGGAGTGGAATCCGAGAGGGAGAAGACTGGGAGGAGGAAGCCATTATCACCAGGAGAACTACATCTCCCAGCAACCACTTCTCCGTCTGGCCGGAAGTGGAGCGGTCCCCCGTAGAAGAAAGAAGCCGTAGAATGAGGCAGTATGGTGGCCGAGAGTTTTAATCCCTTCTTCCCCTTCTTCTCTAGTCCCGCCCAGCCTACATTTCCCAGGAGCCTGCGCGTGTTCTTCCGCTCTACTCTGCTCCCAATCTCCCCGCCACTCCCCGGGGGAGGGGGAGCGATTTAATGCGCATGCGCCAATCCGTGGCTTGCTGGGAACTGAGGTTCCGGAGGCTTACGCGGTCCCTTTTCCGCCGCCCGCGGACGGACTACAAGCCCCTTGATGCATTGCGCGTCGGCGCCCGCGAAGGGAGGGGGGAGAGAAGAGGAGGGAGGGAGGAGGAGGAGGAGGAGGAGGGAGCAGGCGGCCGGCGGCGCGGGGGGAGGGGGCCCGGTCCGGGAGTGCGGGAGGCTGTGGTAGAGGGAGGTGGCGGCAGCGGCTAGCGGACTCGAGTGCCAACCGGGCCGAGGCAGACACCTCTGTGGAGCGAGGCAGTAGGAGCACCGAACACCAGAGGCGGCACCGGGATCCCCGGCTCTGGGGAGGGGGGTGCCGGACCGGGAGGAGGGGAGGGGGCGATGCTGGAAGCCATGGCGGAGCCCAGTCCCGAAGGTGAGCTTTCGACCAGCACGGAGCGCTGAGCCAGCGGGAGGCGGGCGAGGAATCAATTGGCAAACTTGGAGGTCGAGCCCAGGAGCCCGGCGAGGGAGCACGGGGAGGGGGGTCGGGGGCCTGTCCCTGGAGGTGGGAGAGCGATGAGTTGAGAGATCTTGGAGAAAGAGGAGTGGGAGACTGAGCTGGGGGTAGTTGGAGATCAGACTGTGTGTGTGTGTGTGCGGGGCGAGTGGGAGCTGGAAACCGGAGCTTCGGGGGTTAGGGGCCGAAAAGGCCTCCGGCAGGTTGGGGCCCTGGACCTGGGAGGTTGGGAGTATCGGGGGACGGGGAGTTGTTGAGGAGGGAGGATGTGGAAGAGGACTGAGTAGGAGCCCGGCAGTTCGCCGAGGTGGGGGAGTTTGTGGCGGTGGTGCCGGAGCTCCCGGGAGTTGCCGCCAGAGACAGCCCGGTGATTGTTAGAGAGGTGGGCAGATAGTTGTAAGGAGAAGAGGGGGTCTGGGTATTGTCTGCGGTAGAGGGACCTGTACCGGGGCTAGTTGTGGGGAGAGAGAGCCGGGAAGCAAGGAGAGCTGGGTAGTTGTAGGGGCGCTGGGGCGGGGTGGGGGGGTTAAGACTGGCGAGTTGCGGGGGGGGGTGTAGGTTTGGTCGGCGAGGTTAGAGCCTGGGAGTTGCGGAGGGTGAGGGGGCAGCAGCGGGGCTTGCTGTGGGGGGAGAGAGTAGCTGGTTGGGCGGGGGCGGGGGTTAGAGTTTAGGGGTCCGTGGCCTAGTGACTCGGTGGTGAGTACGGGGGCGGAGGGGGGGCGGCGGCCGGAGAGAGCTCGGAACAGGGCCCGGGGGCCCGGCGGGGAGCCCGAGGAGCTCGAGACGGGGAGGGGCCAAAGCCCCGGATGGGGGCGGAGGGACGGCGAAATTGTGGGGAGCGCGGTATGGGGGGGCAGGTGGGGCCGCGTCCGGGTTAGAGCTCTCTGGTCTGTCCCGGACGCGAAGTGGCGTTGGCTGTGTGTGCCTGTGTGTGTTTAGGTGGGGTGAGGGGCGCGCCGGGCCTCGTGCTCCGGTAGAAGGGGCCGGAGGGCGGGGAGCGGTTCAGCGTGGTCATCCTGGACCCTGAGGGCTGGCGGGCGGCGTGTGCGGTCTCGGAGGACCCGGGGCAGTAGAGCGCGGCCGGGTAGGAACTCCAGGCTCTGGGCGCGTGTGAAGGACAGGGGCAGGCGGCAGCCCTGGCTCGGTCCGGGGAGCGGTATGGCGGGGTGGGGCGCTAAGAGATCCGAGTCGACTGGAGTCTAGAGAAACCGTGAGTTGTGGGGGGGGCGGGGCGCCAGGCCTCCGGTGGGGGGAAGGGGAGCGCTATAGCGAGGCCTGGGAGGGCGCCGCGCCCAGGCTCCGCCCCTCGCGGGGCGGAAGGGGGAGCAGGGGCGGGTCCAGCGCAGCTGGGGGCCTGCTGGCCTGGCTGAGGTACCTGGGAGAGAAGGGGGATCACTTGGGACCTTCAAGGTTTAGAGGTGGGGTTTTACACCGACTCTTGCCTAGTGCCTTGACTCAGCTTTTATTGCTTTCACAGATCCACCTCCGACCCTTAAGCCAGAGACTCAGGTGAGGTTTCCCTTACCTTTGCAGCCTAGTATTACTGCCAGACCCCCTCCCCCACCTTTGTCCGTCTCTCTTTCCCTTCTACCTTTTCCACATTCCTCACTCCAGGGACTGTGCCTTTGGGAATGCCCCTCTTACACTCCATGTGATACATGTTTCCTTCCTTTCAGCCACCAGAGAAACGTCGGAGAACAATTGAGGATTTCAATAAATTCTGCAGTTTTGTCTTGGCCTATGCTGGTTACATCCCCCCTAGCAAAGAGGTAGGGACAGGAGGACAAGTGATATGAAGTGGTGTCCTAGGACTGTAGAGGGGCTGTTGAGTAAATGGGACTGTATTACTTTAAAGGAGAAACCTACCAGGAATTATAAGACTAGGAAAATTGGAAACTCGGGTGGGAAAACTAGTGTCTGGGGTGGAGATGGGGTTCATAAAGCTAGGTGACTTGAGCGGCAGTGAATGGTCTTGGGGTACTGTTAATGGAAGTTGCTTTTGGATAAATTTTAGGAAGCTGAAAATGGCAACAAAGGAGGCTGTACAAGAACAGAGCTAAAGAAGTATGGTTCTGGTGTGGGAGATAAAATGTTGTGAAAGCACTGGGCACTGGGGAGATCGCTAGAATTTGAGGGCAGAGGTAACATGGAAATATTCAAGTGGAGATGTTGGTGGGAATTGGGATGAGTACAGTGAGATTTGGTGGTTTTGACAGGATATTTTGGGGTAGATCTAGTTCTTGGTTTCTAAGCTGGGTTTGTAGAGGGGCTGAGATGACACTGGGCTGCCTGCTGACCCTGGTCTCTTCCCCCTTTTAAGGAAAGTGACTGGCCAGCTTCCGGCTCCAGCTCTCCATTGCGAGGTGAGAGTGCAGCAGACAGTGATGGCTGGGACTCGGCCCCTTCAGATCTCCGAACCATCCAAACCTTTGTTAAGAAAGCAAAGTCATCCAAGAGAAGGGCGGCTCAAGCAGGTCCCACCCAGCCAGGACCCCCAAGGTCCACTTTCTCTCGCCTGCAGGCCCCTGACAGTGCCACCCTGCTTGAGAAGATGAAGCTCAAGGACTCTCTCTTTGATCTAGATGGGCCCAAAATGGCATCTCCACTGTCCCCCACATCCCTGACACATGCCTCCCGGCCCCCTGCTGCTCTCACCCCAGTGCCCCTTTCCCAGGGGGACCTCTCCCAGCCTCCTCGAAAGAAGGACCGAAAGAACCGAAAATTGGGGCCAGGAGCAGGTGCTGGCTTTGGGGTGCTTCGGAGGCCTCGGCCAGCCCCTGGGGATGGGGAAAAGAGGTCTCGAATCAAGAAGAGCAAGAAGCGGAAGTTGAAAAAAGCAGAGCGGGGGGATAGACTCCCACCTCCTGGTCCTCCCCGGGCACCCCCTAGTGATACAGACTCTGAAGAGGAGGAGGAGGAGGAGGAAGAGGAAGAGGAGGAAGAGATGGCAGCAATGGTAGGGGGTGAAGCCCCAGCCCCTGTGCTGCCAACACCCCCTGAGGCTCCCAGGCCCCCTGCCACAGTGCACCCTGCAGGAGCCCCTGCCACTGACAGTGAAAGCAAGGAGGTGGGCAGCACTGAAACAAGCCAAGATGGAGATGCCAGCTCCAGTGAAGGCGAGATGCGGGTCATGGATGAGGACATCATGGTAGAATCAGGTGAGAAGTTTGGGATACCCAAGGGCAGCTGGGAGGCTGGGTTTAGGGGTGTTGTGGATCCAAGAGCTCAGGCAGAACACCAAACAAACCTTCTTTTCCCCAGGTGATGACTCATGGGATCTGATCACATGTTACTGCCGAAAGCCCTTTGCAGGGCGGCCCATGATTGAGTGCAGCCTGTGTGGGACGTGGATCCACCTCTCCTGTGCTAAGATTAAGAAGACCAATGTCCCTGACTTCTTTTACTGCCAGAAATGCAAAGAACTGCGGCCAGAGGCCAGGCGGTTAGGGGGGCCTCCCAAATCTGGAGAGCCCTGACATCGCCGGCTCTAGGCTGGAACTTCTAAATGACATGACTTGGGAACTGAGCCTCAGGGTCCTCAAGCCTATCCCCTGGAGCTTGGATATTGTCCCACTTCAAGGCAGGAATTCCTAAGGGAGGCTGGTTTGGAAATGAGTTTCTCACATTCCTCCCCTACCCTTCCCACCTTGTGGACTTGAACTTGGACCCCTTACATTTGGGGGTGGGAAGCTGCCTGGGTCCCTAGACACTTAATCTCTGTCCCTTGGGCCTGCCACCTCTCACTTTCTGGGCCAGGGTTGGAATTGGGATGGAATGGGACAGTTGTCTATAAAACTCTAGTGTAAATATAGCACTCCCGTCCCTCATCTTTTCTTCTGTCTCACTCCCCATTTCTTCTATACCGGTTGTATTTTTAATTTTGGACTTCCCCTTTTGGGCATGGCAGCTCAGAGGTGGAGTACCAACCAGAGCCTGGCCCGGCAGGAGGGAAAACAGAAGGGTGACGATTCTCTCACTCACCTCTTTTGTTTTTAATAATATTGGCCAGCTGTTTGTACAGACAGCCTGCGTGTTGTAAATAAAGCAGAGTGGGCTCTTTTGTGTTTATAGCCCTCACTGACGTCCTGCTTGGGAGGGAGGCTTTGGAAAAGCTGGCAGAAGACTGGCTGGAGGAGGGGCTGAAACTGACCCCCCTTTCAGGTCCGAGGTGAAAACGACTCTATGGCCTTAATTGGTTTTGCCCCACCTCACCCCTGTCTAGGATCCCCACAATCTCCACCCCCGCCCCCCACAAGCTCGCTCCAGCGGATCAGACTTGCTCGGAGCTCCCCGCCCGAGCTGGGTAAAGCAGGGTGGGAATCAGTTGCCTGCTCCCTGAGGGCAGAGACCAGCTTAGCCACGGGACTGGGAGGACGCGGGTGGGGACACATTTGGGGGCGGGGCCGGTGCGGGCTGGGAGACCGTTGCTGAAGGCAGTGATCACGTGGTGGGGGCGCTAGGAGGAGCCGAGTGGTCACGTGACCGGGAGAGGGTCACGTGGCGGAGGGCGTTACGAAGAGCGCGAGGTGGGTCGGCTTGGGTCACGTGACATGGGGAGAGGTGGGCGGGGCACAGGAGGGGCGCTCGCGGCGTCTGCGGCGGTGGCGCGCGGCGGCGGCTGAGTCCGAGGCTTTGGGTCGCACCCCTTGGCCGCCCTCTCCTACCCCCTCGATCGCCGCCTTCTCTCTTGCACCGCTCTTGCACGGGGTCGGTCCTGTACGCGCTCGCGCGTCGGTTTTCGGGTCTGCGCAGGCGCGGCGGCGGGAGCGATTAGCCCGCTTGGGTGGGCGGCGGAGCCCGGGAGCGCGCGGGCGAGACCATGGCGGGCAGCGGCGCGGGGGGCGGTGGTGTCGGGGAGACGAAGGTGATTTACCACCTGGATGAAGAGGAGACTCCCTACCTGGTGAAGATCCCTGTCCCCGCCGAGCGCATCACTCTCGGCGATTTCAAGAGCGTCTTGCAGCGGCCCGCGGGCGCTAAGTACTTTTTCAAGTCTATGGATCAGGATTTCGGGTGAGCCCGAGGCCTAGACTGGGACCGCTGGGGACTGTGCTGGAGTGGATTGGTCAATATTGGGGGGCATAGGTCCATTCTGGGCCATGCTGGGGATTTGTGGGCTATAGTGGAGTAGATTGTGCTATGCTGGGGTAGATTGGGTATCACAGGATGGACAAGGTTATGCTTGGACAGATTGAGGCGCACGGAGCTGTAGGAGGACATACTGGGCTATACTAAACCAGATTAGAGAAGATTAGGCTATACTGGAATAGAGTGGGGCTCACTGGTTTATTTTGGGATGTTCTGGACTGTGCTGAGGTGGATTCATCTATCTTTTGGTAGTTCAGTGCATTCTGAGCAGTCCTTTAGCACACAGGCTATGTAGGGATATTGTGGAATCTCCTGATGTAGATAGGGCTGTACTGGGGCAACTTAGGGCGCTCTTGCCTATGCTACGGCAGGCAGGATTGTTTTGGGACACTCTAGTCTGTAATAATGCAGAGTGTGCTGTATTGGGATGTTCTAGGCTGCCCTGGAGTAGATTAGGCTATCTTGGAGAAACTTGGGCCATTCTGGTCTCTACTGGGTTGTATTGGTTGATCTTAGTTTTTGTGGGGGCCTAGTTTTTATTGGGACACTCAGTAGAGGAGCAGACAGTCTGTTGGGGTGTCTGCTGGTACAGACAGCTGTATTGGGATATTCTAGTCTGTATTGGTGCAGACAGCTGCATGTGGAGACATTCTATGATGTGCTAGACTAGATTGGGCTTTCCTGGGGTAATTTGGGACATTCTGGGCTAGCCTGGGACTTTAAGTAATGCAGAGTAAGCTCTTTTGTGTTTATAGCCTTTGAGACTGAGCGGTCTCTGTCCTCAAGCTCAGCTTTGAAGGCAGGCTGGATTAGGCTGGGATTGCCTGGGTTCTAGGAGGGCTGAACAGACTGGGCTCTCCCTAGAAAGGTTGTTGGACGTTGGGGAAAGTGGTACTGTGTTGGGAGTTACCTTGGATTTAAATCAAGGTTCTTCTGTTTGTCAGCATTTTAATTTGGCATAATTTATTTAATTTTTTTGCTTTGATCTCATCTGTGAAATGGAGCTCATCAAAGTAAAATGCCTACCACAGGTACCTGGCAAATGATAATTGTCATTATTAGTACTGAGTCTGACTAGTCTATAAGCCAGGTTTGTATCTCTGTGGTGATACAGAATAGAACAACTTGGCAGGCTGGACTATGATGAGACTGGATTATGTTGTGAAGAATACTACATTATGCTGAGGCAGATTAGTAGTGCCTGGGCTGTGTCGTCGCTTTGATAGCAAATGGGATTAAGTTGGCATGTATCCAGGCTCCTAGAACCATATTAGGCTAAAGGGTTAATCAGACAGTATGTTCTAATTCAGGAGTGAGGATGTATGAGAGTGTGTGTTCAGGGCAGAGATTTTCATAGTTTATATATTGAGTCCTTTAGTCAACAAATATTTGTTAATGCTTACCAAGTGTCAGGTACTTTGCTGTGAGGCTGGGATGCAGTGTTGAACAGAATAGGCATTAATGATTAATGATTTCCGGTGGTAGTTGAGAAGAAGGGGCAAGTCCAGTCCATCGCAAGGAACCCATGGGGCAAATGGTCCCCAGGGCTGGGCTTTTGGGTCTGTCAGGTGGAGCCGATTGCTTAGTGCAGAGTTTTGTGCCAGGTGAGGCACAGGGGAGTGGGAAGCCCGGCTTCCCCTCTCCTTGAGAGCTCTCGGCCTAGTGAAGAAGTACCATTCTTTGGTCTAATGGATATTTTTATCTAGGCAAAGACAGCACATTTGGACTGCCCTCTGGAAGTGAGTTAGAGAAAACTAAGGAAAGCATAAGAGTGGGGACTTACATGACGACCAAAGCCTTTTTTGGGAAGGTGTGTGAGGAACAGGTTAGAGGTTGAGGGGAGGCTGCCTGCAAGGCTCCTAAGGTCAGATAGATATTTTGGGCAGCTGGGGTAACCTCATGGGATGGCCTTTGAAATTGGACTGAGAGGTTTGGATCAGACTCAAGGAAATCTTTGGAGCAGCCTTGAGCCCCTGAGGAGGAGCTGGGGAGAGAAGGAGAAATAAGGAAAGGGAATCGTTTGGAGATTTCTTAGGTCTAAGAGTGACGTGTTTCAGTGTAACAGAAGAGGACTTGGACAGGGTGAGAGAAAATCCACATCCTTGAGCTGGATGAGGATTGGGAGAAACTTGAATGGAGATGGGAGTCGGGGGAGCTAGTCCAGTCTCATGGATTTTTATCCCTTCTCTCGGCAGGGTGGTGAAGGAAGAAATTTCAGATGACAATGCCCGCCTTCCCTGCTTCAACGGACGGGTGGTGTCCTGGGTAAGGGGCTCTGGCCCTGAGGCCCTAGTCCCTCCTGTGTTGCTAAGCTCCTCCACGCCTCAGTCTGTTCTGTAGCACTCCTCCTGCTCAGTTGTTGGAGGTCCTGGCTCTTTGCTTTCCTACCTGTCTGGAGAGCCAGCTGGAGCCTCTCAGCCTTCTCCTTATGAGGTCTCTTCTGCTTCCTACAGCTTTTTTGTGCTTTTCTCCACCCTCTGTCAGACCCTGTCCCTTTTTCTAGTCCTTTCCGTTACTCCCATCTCATATACCTTACTTCCCAATTGAGCCTTTTTTTTAATCACTTGCACTCTTCTAGCTAGTGTCATCAGATAACCCCCAACCCGAGATGGCTCCCCCAGCCCATGAGCCTCGGACAGAACTGGCGCCTCCACCCCCACCATTACCCACTTTGCCACCGGAGAGGACCAGTGGCATAGGGGACTCCAGGCCTCCATCCTTCCAGTGAGTACTTGGATTCTTGAGTCCAGGGGAGGGAGATGAGGAGGGAACCCAAGCCCCCTGGGAGGGGAAGCTGAGGATTTGGAGCCCTGTCCCACTGATGTGGTTTGGAAACTGTCTCTGCCCGTCTAGCCCTAATGTGTCCAGCAGCCGGGAAAATTTGGAGCCCGAGACAGAAACAGAGTCAGTAGTGTCTCTGAGGCGGGAACGGCCTCGCAGGAGAGACAGCAGTGAGCATGGCGGTGAGGGGGGCCAGGCCCTGAGGCTGGGGAGAGTGGGAGCTGGGAAGGGGTTGGGTCAGACCCAAGCCTTGATGAGGGTAAGGAACATGAGGCCTGGTTCCTGAGGTTCCTGTTCATACTTAGCTGGGGGCCACAGGCCCAGTGGCCCCTCGAGACTGGAGCGCCACCTGGCTGGGTATGAGAGCTCCTCAACCCTCATGACCAGCGAGCTGGAGAGCACCAGCCTGGGGGACTCGGATGAGGACGACACCATGAGCAGGTATGGCTCCACACATCTTTCCCCCTCTTTTCCCTCCCTGCAGCCAATCCTCCCCTCCTTCTCTTGGCCCCATGACCACCTCTGCCTGCGAGTGCTCCCCTTCCCAACCTTCTGACAGGTTCAGCAGCTCCACGGAGCAGAGCAGTGCCTCCCGCCTCCTCAAGCGCCACCGGCGGCGGAGGAAACAGCGGCCACCCCGCCTGGAGAGGGTGAGGGAGTTCTCATGGGACAATGGGCCTTGGAGAAGGTGGGGCCATGGGCCTTGGTTTGAGGAGTACAAGGGCACAGACTGTGAGAATCCCAGGGCTTATCCCCAGGCTGTTGAAGGCAGTCCAGCTCCTTCCCATTTTCCCACCACAGACCTCATCCTTCAGCAGCGTCACCGATTCCACCATGTCTCTCAACATCATCACAGTCACACTCAACATGGGTATGGAGGGAGCCTGGGGCTGGGGAGGACTTGATCTCCAGCACTCCTGGGGGGTCATGTGGTGGGGGCTTCCCTTGTCACACGTACTCCCTCCACAGAGAAGTACAACTTCCTGGGCATCTCCATTGTGGGCCAAAGCAATGAGCGGGGAGACGGTGGCATCTACATCGGCTCCATCATGAAGGGTGGGGCCGTGGCGGCTGATGGGCGCATCGAGCCGGGGGACATGCTTTTGCAGGTGTGCTGGGGCGGGGCCACCAGCGCCAACTCGGGCAGGGTCTCTCAGCCTCTCCCACCCTGCCTCTGACCCACTTCCCCTTGCTTCCAGGTGAATGACATGAACTTTGAGAACATGAGCAATGATGATGCGGTACGGGTGCTGAGGGACATTGTGCACAAGCCGGGGTGAGCTTCTGAGCTGGTCCCGGGTCCTCTGTCCTCTTGTCTTTGCCTTTTCGCCTTTTATTTTATGATTTTAAAAAGTGGTGAAATGGGGGCTGGCCCGGTGGCCTAGTGGTTAAGTTTGGCACGCTCCGCTTCAGCAGCCTCGGTTCTTGGGGTCCGTTCCCAGGTGCAGACCTACATCACTCGTCAGTGGCCATGTTGTGGTGGCGGCCCACGTACAAAATAGAGGAAGATTGGCAACAGGTGTTAGCTCAGGGTGAATCTTCCTGAGCACAAAAAAAAAAAAAAATAGTGGAAGGTAACACGCATCTAAAAAGTACATAAAACAAAAATGCGTAATGTAGTGAATAATTTTAGAGTGAAAGAGTACCCGTGTCACCACTACCTAGATCATGAAATAAAAGATTGCTGATACCCCGGAAGTGTTGTCGTTGCCCCCCACCCCCACCCCACCACTGCCCTGCTGTGTCCCTTCCTGCTCTCACTCTCCTTGCTACCCCTAGAGGTAATAATCGCTCTCCTGACTTGTTTGGTCATCACCTTGGCAAAGAAAATCTGCACTACACTTGGTAGTTTTACCGCCCATGCTTGTATCCTTGAACAACACAGTTTAGTTTTACCTGTTTTTGGACTTTCTCTGAGTGGAACTGTATGGGCTGTACTCTTGTCTCGCACAGCAGTATGCTTTTAAGAGTTATCCGTGTTGGTGAGTCACCCACATTGTGGAGCCTTCCACTCTCACTTTCTCTGGCCCAGCCTTGTCTTTGCTCTTTTCTTCTTTCCTCTCTCTGTCCCTCAACCCATTCTTATTCCAGGCCTCTGCCCTCCCAAGGCCTCTCTCCCCAGCCCTGCTTGACCGGCCTCCTCTTCCCCACAGCCCCATCGTGCTGACTGTGGCCAAGTGCTGGGATCCCTCTCCCCAGGCCTATTTCACCCTCCCCCGAAGTGAGTGATGCTCAGGAGGGCCTGCAGCTGAGGACGGGAGAGCTGGGAGCTGGGACTGGGCCTCTGCGGAATGAGTGGAGGAGGGTCAAGGTGGAGGCGAGATGGGGTCTGAGTCAGGGAGGGACAGGGCTGGCCCTTTGGGACTGGGAAGTGATCATCTTGGTGGCCTTCTTTGTCCCAGATGAGCCCATCCAGCCAATTGACCCTGCTGCCTGGGTCTCACACTCCGCTGCACTGACTGGTACCTTCCCAGCCTATCCAGGTTCCTCATCCATGAGCACCATTACATCTGGGTCCTCTCTGCCTGATGGTGAGCCCCCAGGCCCACCTCATCCCACTCTTCCTGGAACTCCTCCCAACAATGGTGTGACCCCGCCACTCCTTGGGAGTGGCCCTACCCCTGATTCCCCATTGTCTTGTCTGTCAGGCTGTGAAGGCCGGGGTCTCTCCATCCATACAGACATGGCATCTGTGACCAAGGCCATGGCTGCTCCAGAGTCTGGGCTGGAAGTTCGGGACCGCATGTGGCTCAAGATCACGATCCCTAATGCCTTTCTGGGTACTGCTGGGCCCTGGGCAGGTGGCGTGGGAAGGAGGGGAGGAGGGGGAGGAGGCCGAAGCTGGGACTGGCCCAGGCAGGGGTGAGGCAGGAGCTGGGGAGGAGAACCTAAGACCTTTTTCTGCTCTGGGCAATCCCAGGCTCAGATGTGGTTGACTGGCTCTACCATCACGTGGAGGGCTTTCCTGAGCGGCGGGAGGCCCGCAAGTATGCCAGCGGGCTCCTCAAGGCAGGCCTTATCCGACACACCGTAAACAAGATCACCTTCTCTGAGCAGTGCTATTATGTCTTTGGAGACCTCAGTGGCGGCTGTGAGAGTTGTGAGTCCCCCTGTCCCGGCCCTGGGAGGGCATCTCTGGCTGCTGTGTCCTGCTTTTCCAAACCCACACCTAGCCCAGAAACCAGCCGGGGCCACCATGGATGGTTAAGCACTGTGTGTCCTGCACTAGGCCCTGCGCTGGCTGATGAGAGCTGACAGGTGGGGGCTGACATCCACCCATGTTCTGCTGGACAAGCCGTGCCCCGGGAGCAGGGCTGTGTCTGCTGGGGGGAGGGGCGCCTTTTCCTGGGATTCATAAAAACATATGGGACTTGTGGTGGTCCTGGCTGTGTTCCTGCCCTGATGGCAGTGGCAGGTGGGGAATTTCCTGTCAGAGGCTCTCATGATCCCCCGTTCTAAGCCCCGTCATGGATGGTTCTGGAGAAACGATCCCCAGTTCCTCTTCGTTCAATGTCTTGGGGTCCTGACCTCTCGAGGCAGCGAATCTTAGTCTCTTCTTTTACTTTCCAGACCTAGTTAACTTGTCTCTGAATGACAATGATGGCTCCAGTGGGGCTTCAGACCAGGACACCTTGGCTCCTCTGCCTGGGGCCACCCCCTGGCCCTTGCTGCCCACCTTCTCCTACCAGTACCCAGCCCCACACCCATACAGCCCCCAGCCGCCCCCTTACCATGAGCTCTCGTCCTACACCTATGGTGGAGGCAGTGCTAGCAGCCAGCACAGTGAGGGTAAGTCGCCACCAGATACCCATAACAGCCAGGGTCTGGGGAGGGGCAAGGGGAAACCAGGGAGGAGAGGCTGGAGCAGGGGCTGGGAAGGCCAAGGGACCCTGGGCTAGTGCTCAGTTGCCCCCATTCCCTCTCACCCCACAGGGAGCCGGAGCAGTGGGTCGACACGCAGCGATGGGGGGGCAGGGCGCACAGGGAGGTCTGAGGAGCGGGCCCCCGAGTCCAAGTCCGGCAGTGGCAGTGAGTCTGAGCCTTCTAGCCGGGGGGGCAGCCTTCGGCGGGGCGGGGAATCTGGTGGGAGTGGTGATGGGGGCCCTCCCCCATCCAGGGGCTCATCAGGGGGTGCTCCCAATCTCCGAGCCCACCCAGGGCTCCATCCCTATGGACCACCTCCTGGCATGACGCTCCCTTATAACCCCATGATGGTGGTCATGATGCCCCCACCCCCACCCCCTGTCCCTCCAGCAGTACAGCCCCCGGGGGCCCCTCCAGTCAGAGACCTGGGCTCGGTGCCCCCAGAGCTAACAGCCAGCCGCCAAAGCTTCCACATGGCCATGGGCAACCCCAGCGAGTTCTTCGTGGATGTTATGTAGAGCCCACAGGGGGTCGTGTTGGATCTTCACCCTTGGCCTGTCCTGTCAGGGCTTGGTGCTCCTATCCTGTGATTTGGTGTCGTCAGTCATACACTCATTACTCCTCTGGTGCCTGGCCTCAGCCTGTGCTGTGGGCTGCTGCCTGTTGTGAGGTTGTTGCCACTGTGACTCTTACCAGCAGTGCCTAGTTCCTCCCCCTTCCTTCAGGGGTGTACAAGGGACTTTTGGTTATTTTTAGCTTTATTGTTTTTTGTAAGCCTTTTTGGGGGTTAAAATAGACTTTATTACACTTTTTGGACTATTTTTTTAGTAGACATTTTCTCTTTTATATGAAGAATTCTCCATCTCCCAGGCCCCTTCTCACCCCAAAATGTGACCTCCTCCTCCATTCGCCCAGTTGGCTCGGGGCTCTGTCCTCACAGGGCGGGGGTGGTCAGTGGTACCTGGGAGGAAGAAGGGGTTGGCCACCCTAGACAGCAGTCAAAGGAGCTGGGGTATTTGGTATTTGGGGGCCATGTAGCTGCTTCTGTTACTCTATTTATTTTAGTCACTTGTATAAAACACCAAATAAAGCAATAGGGGCAAACTCCCCCCGCCTCTGGCTCCTTTCTTTGGGAGGGAGGCAGGCAGAGAGGGAAAGGACTGAGACACAGTAGCAAAGCATGACTTGTTAGAAACTTTATTTGCGAGGCAGTTAAGTGCTTCCTCCCAGGCACTGTCCTGGGACGAGGGCCCCTTCAAGGCAGAACCAGGGCCTGCAGGAAAGGGGCCTGGGCTTTGGCTTGAGAGAAGGCACATTCTGGGCCAGGCCCTGGCTGCGAGTGTTCAGAAGCCAAGAGGGTTGCTGGTGACCACGCCACCCCGTTCCACCAAGGCCTTGGAGATGCTTTTGAAGTTACGGAAAAGCTCCTGCTGCTGGGGATCTGACTGCAGAGCAGCCATGTTCTCCCGGATCCGAGCTGCAGCCTGGGGAGAGGGAAGGAGGAGTTCAGGCCTGTGCCTCGAGCCCCTCACCTGTACTTGGTAACTGCAAATCTCACCTCAATACACCAGCTGTCACAGAGCATTTTCTCATGCTGGGCTGTGGGGTGGCCCTCACTCAGGGATCTTGAGGCCCTGGTGGGAAGCAGGAGAAAACAAATCTGGGCTGTGACCCTGGCCCAGGACCCCCCTGCGGCTCAGGCCTCCCACACTGCCTCCTCACCTGGACAGAACCACCACCATGGCATAGAGGTCAATGGCACTGTCTGCCAGACGCTGCAGCAGAAACTGTTCGTCTGTCAGGTAGATGGGATGGGGTGGGGGGGCATTAGTTGGAGGGAGAGGAAAAGGAGGGGTGGGAATGGGGTAGAGCTCACTCACTGACAATCTCCTTCTTGTGTTTTATCAGCTTAGCCTCCACCACAGTGGCAAACTGCTCCAGAGCCTGCACTGCCTGAAGAGATGGGGAAGGCATTCAGGGCTCAGAGAGGGGCAGCCCCATCAGCCCTTGACGCAGGCTGTTAACTCCACCCTTGACTACTCACCAGCTCACCACTCCGATTCAAATCCTGGTGGATAACTCCACTGAGACTCAGGCCACTGCCCATCCCTGCGCGCCTTAGAGTGAGGAGGAGAGTGACTGGTTAGTTGTCACACACAACCCTGCCTGGCCCTGGCCTGGCCCAGCCCCTAAGCTTACCGCTTCAGCTGTTTGCCTGCCTCTCCTAGCAGGAGGCCGGCATTCCCAAAAGGATTCTTTAGAGCACTGCCAAGTCTAGAGAGTTCCTTTCCTTTGTCCTAGGGGGGAGGAGGGTCGAACAGTCAGGAAGGACTCGCTGTCCTCCCCACCACCTCCCCCCACTTCTCCTCCCTCTTACCATACAGCCCTGCAGAGCTACAAACAGCCGGAGAATGTCGTTCGTCCCCTCAAAGATCCGGAAGATGCGAAGATCTCGGAGCACACGCTCTACCCCAGGCTCCTACCACAGGGGAAGACAGATCACCAGCCCCTGCTGAGATGAGCCTGCCTACTCCTCCAGGCCCAGCAGTGGCTACCCCTGGCAGAGAACCATCCTGTACCTTCATGAAGCCCATGCCCCCCATGATTTGGATGCACTCATCTGTCACCTGCCAGGCTGCCTCCTAGGGACCAAGAACCACATGAGATTGGTTTTGGAGCCAGCTCCCGAACTGGCCTCTCCCTCCCTGTGGGCCTGGGACCTCACCGAGCCAAAGATTTTGCTGATGGCGGCCTCTATCTGGAAGTCCGTGGATCCCTGGTCCATGTTGGCACTCACCATGTAAGCCATGGACTAAGGTTGCATAGTTGACACGGGAAGGAAAACGGAAAAGGGCTGCATCAGACTCGATTAATTCCCCAAATCTCCAAGACTAGGTCTGCCCTAGCTCCCTGTGGCCCTTGCCTTCACCTTCTAACTCCACGTGTCAGGCACATCAAATTATTTGGTCCTGAGTCAGTTCATCCGGGGCTTCTAGGCATTTGATTTCTTGAAAGGGGTGAAGAGGTAAGGCTGAGGGTGGGGTAGAATAAACTTCAGGTACCTCTGGAAGCATCTCAGCAGAACAGCATGGCTCTGCAGAAGCTGAGCTGACTATGCCTCCCCGCATCCCCTAGGGCATTGGTGTAAAGCTGGAGACCCACTGCCCCAGGTGCTGCTGGGGGTTGTAGTCTGACCCGACTGGGAAGAAAGCACGGGGCTCTGGGGAGATCTGTGGGGCAGCCCTCACCTCAGTCACATATTGCAGCATAGCCATCCGGGCCAGCTTCTCCTGGATCATCCCAAAGTTGTGAATTTTCTCCCCAAACTGGGTACGATTAGCAGCATGATCAACCTGGAAGAGGGCACATATGTCCCACTCTGGTTCTCTAGTCTCCTCTCCCCAGGAAGGGGCTGGGCTGGGTTTGGAGGGATGGGATTTGGCCACAGCCAAGAGTTCAGTCCAGGCTGGATGGAAACCTAAGCTATCGGGTCTGGAGCTGCTGGTGGGGGAGGGGTCTCTGGTGGAGGGAGTGCCTGCAAGGGAACAGCGACACATGGGAAGGGAGCCAATGTGACTTATATTCAGAATAGCTAGGGACTCAGGCAGGGTACTCACCGCTTTAGCAATGATGCCCTTCATGGTGCCTGCAAGGGCCGCAGCCATGCCAAACCTTCCATTGTTGAGAATGTGCATGGCGACCTTGAAGCCGCCCCCCACCTCACCCAGCACATTTTCTGATGGCACCTGTACTCCATCAAAGTACACCTCTGCTGTGTTTGAGGCCTTGATGCCCATCTTCTTCTCAGGGGGCCCACTGTGACAGGACAGGGTGGAGAAGCAGAGGTGTGTTCAACAAGTTGCCGCTGGGGGAAACTGCCCCTTCATTCCTTATGAACCAGGGAGGAGCTAAAACTCCCAGCCTGTAAGAGGGTGCAGACAACAGTTCCTGCGCCCACAGGGCTGAGGAGGCCTTGCTCTATCCTGCCATCATGTGTTGGGCTCATTGGTTGCTGGAGCCAAAGCTTTAGATCAGTTCCATACATTAATATTAGTCCCAAAGGGAACACACTGTCCAGCTGTTCTGGCTTTTGCACAAATCCCCAGGGTGACCTGTAACGGCTGTCTGCCCTGGAGCTCAGTACTGCCCCTCTCCCTGGCTCGACCTTTCTACTTCCTCAAGCCCACTCACTGGGTGACACCTCCAAAGCTCCTCTCCACCACAAAAGCTGTTATCTTCTCCTTCACAGCCCCTGTGGCTGCATCTGTAACTGGTGTCTTGGCAAAGACTGTGAAGATGTCTGCTAGGCCCCCGTTACTGTGGAAAAATGAGGGGCAGTCAAGCACTGCCTGTGGAGAGCTGAGAGCAGTGGGGCCTGGAATTGGGCAGAGGTGGGGAGGAAGGGGATGGAAAGAAGATTGCCTGATCCAAATCTTGCTTCCATTGAGGGTATAATATTTTCCACAGGGGCTGGGCACAGCTGAGCTTCGGATGGAGGCTGCATCAGACCCACTGGAGGGCTCAGTTAGACAGAAAGCGGCTATAGTCTCTCCTGTTTGAGAGAGAGCTCCTTTACACTGGGTCCTGTTGGGCATCAAAGGCCCTTTGGTACCGCCCCGCCCACAGGCAATATTCAGTCTCTTCACATTTCCCCACCAGCACACTGTGATGCCTTCCCAGACTCTCCCCCAACCAACACGCCCAGCTACACGGTGATCTAAGGACCACCAGCCTAATTTCTCTCAAGCCCAGGACACCCCCAACCCCTGGGTCTCCTAGGGCTGCCTCACCAGATGCCAGTTTGGGGAGGTATTTTTCTTTCTGGGCCTTCGTGCCAAAGAGCAGGATGCCTTTGAAACCGATGCTCTGATGGGCGCCCAGAGTGATGCCCACGCCAAGGTCGTGCATGCCCACGATCTCCACCAAGCGGGCGTACTGGAGGGGAAGTGGGCATCTGAGGCCGTAGCTGGCTGCGTGGGTACCTGCCCTTAGAAAAGTGTGAGCAACAGGGCAGGGCCTGACCTGGGCATCCCCACAAAGTGAGTGGAGAGAGGAAATGGGACCATGGCAGAAAAGGACACTCGAGTCTGTCCCAGGGCTTAGTGGGAAGGCTTCCTACCCTATTGTCAGGCAGTCCCCACCTTAGAGATTCATTAGAACTTGGGAACCTGGGTGAGGTCCATGTCCCTAGGAGACTGCATGTAGTTTAGTGTTATGTTTGGAATGGGTGTGTACACATTGAGGAGAGTCACCATCCCACAGGCCTCCAGGGCAGTTGCTTGGCAGAGACCTTAGCCCCAGGGATGAGAAAGGAGCTGAATCTGCCAAGCCTGAGTAGACCTGGACACTGGGAAGTGACTGAGGGGGCTTCCTCACCTGGGTGTTGCAGAGGCCCACACCGCCCAGCTCACTGGGCACCTGTAGACCAAATGCCCCCAGCTCTTTGAGGCCCTGCATAGTGGTCTCCTCCACCCGCTCCAGCATGTCATTCTTGGCAGGATCATTCACATCCTAGGAAGGCACAGGATTCCACGTGGATCCAGGCTCCTTTTAAGCTCCTTAATCTCTCCCCCACCCCATCAGGGACCAAACTCTCTAGTCCCCAGCCCCAGTCATTCCTCACCTGGAAGAAACGGGACACAGGTCCCACCAGCTCTTTGAGAAACTGTGTCTGCTCCTCGTTGAGCACTGTGGGGGTTGGTGAATGAGTGGGTGGGGAAAACAGGTCAAGCGAGACTGTCAGGGGAAACCGCGTGTTGGACCCAGCTCTGACTACACCTTGCCTTACCAGAGGGGTATGGAAACACCTGGTCTGTGGTGAGCTGACCCTTGAACATCCCCACAGCAAAGGACTTAGATTCCTGCGCAGGGAGAAGGGGGGTTTCAGGGACCTGTCAGGTGGGTCCGCCCCTCCTTAGCTCCTCCCGGCCTCAGGGTCACATACCGCCTTGGCCTGTTTTCCCCTGGTCAAAGCCTCAGAGGAGAGGGAATCTGCCTTGTCCAGAGCAGCCTGGGGAAAGCGGCAGTTAGTGAGGTCAGGGAAGAGGCTTCGGAAGTGCCAAGGAGAGCCCAAGGGAAGAGCTGGGAGCCGGGGAGGGCGGATCCGGCCACCTTTCCCCTAGTTTCATCCCGGGGCACCCTGGCCTGCCCTTTCCCCTACTTTCGGCGCCAGGCCGGTCGGCAGGTGACTGGGACAAAGAAGGAGATCCCTGCCGGCGCCGGGGACTTAGGAGCCGGGGCGGACTCCCCCTCCCACGCCCCGCTCCCAAGGCCACCGTTACTTACCTGAGCGGCCCCACTGGCATAGTGTCGCCGGGCAGGGCCGGGCCGGGGCTGCCCCAGGAGCGCGCTGGGCCGCGAGCTGTGGGGAGTGGGGGCTCAGTTCTGGGCGGGTCCCCAGGCCTGCTGCCCCCCCGTCCCTCCTGTCATACACACACTTTCCGCCCCCCAACCTTAGCAGCTGCCGCCCCACGCTGGGGGCCATCCTCGCCGCCTGCATCTCCGAACCGCTCCGGTCGCCGCTGCCTTGAGCGCTGACCTAGAGCTCTCGCCCGGTCTGCCAGAGTCTGGGTCCCCCACCCCTGACTCATCCTCCACAATGCACCGGGAGGCGGGCGGGCGGGGCTTCCGGTCGCCGGGGCATGCTGGGAGCTGTAGTTCCGCATCGCTCCTTGCCACCCAGCCCCTGCATTCTGGTTGACCTAAGATGATCTCCATACGTCCCTTGTCTCCCCCAAACTCCTTCGTCCTGCCTGTCGGAACTAGAGTGCAGCCCTCAGAAGGGGTGATGAGATAGGCTGGGACTGAAGAGGGAGAAGCTTAGGCGACTGCAGCCAGAGGGATGGAGGGTAGACTGAAGGGAGGACTTCCCAGGTAGAGTTAGAAGGGAGAGGTGGGAAGAGAGCCGTGTAAGACAGATGCCAGAGGTAGAGGCATGGAAAGACGACTCTTTGGGGTCTTTCTTGAAATCTGTCTCCACCAATACAAAAGGAAGAGAACTGGTGGAGTGGGGGACTCAAGTTGGGATGTGAGTGTCCTAAGCATATTCTCCCAAGACCTCGGAGGTGTCACTAACTCTGGAAACACCTAAATTTTCACAGTGTTCACAGTAGGAACAACCCCCGGGGTTCACTGCTTCCCCCTTAGGGCCTCTGAGGCCTTCTTGAACATCTATCTTTCTCTGCCCTCTGTTCCTTCCTGAGACCACGCACTCAGGCAAGACCTCTGAGCACATGGATTCTTCCCAGGCCTGAGAGGAACTGTAGGAATTCTCATGTCCCTCCCTCTCCCACTGGGTCAAGAAGTCCTAGGCAATTTATACCCTTCTTTCTGCCATTCCTACTGGGGACAGGCACAGGAGGGGAGAGAGCTGGGCTAAGCTTCCTTTCTTTTTGTGCAGCAGGAGCCTCCTTGGTAGTGACCTCTTCCCTAGTCCCTCAGGAAAGTATAGCTAAGTCATGTCTGGCTTTGGGGAGAGGGGCCAGGGTGTGTGGAGCAAGGTGGTGGTGGTGGTGGTGTCTGGGGACCTGGGGAAGAATGGGACAGCGGGTGGGTTCAGAGACTGCCTGCTTTACCTAACAGCTGGAATTGGGTGAGGAGATGTCAGCTCAGCTTCAATCCTGGAGGATTAGTGAGATTAAAGTGAGAGAAGAGAGAGATGTCCGAGAGACCAAGAGGTGAAAAACAAGAGTCCTTGCGGAGGAGAGGCCTAGGGGTGGAGTGGGCGTCTGGGACTCTTTCTCCCCGAATCTTTCCATAGAGTCTGGGGTGAAAGGGCAAAGGCTGGGGAAAGATGAGGTGAGTGAGTATGCTGGTCTGTTTGTCTCTTCGTTGTCCCAATCCTCCCTCACTTGCATTTCACCAGCTCCCAGGTCAGCCCTCTGGCTCCTGGCCCCCCCACTATTGCGATGGGCACCCCCTCTCCTCACGGTGCTGCACAGTGACCTCTTCCAGGCCTTGCTGGGTGAGTAGCACCAATTTTCTGAGGGGCAGTGGTGGAAAGGGCTGGCCTGGTCCTGCGAGGGCAATTATCCATCTCAGGGGCTGGTTGAGAGCCTGGAGATCATTTGGTTCAAGCAGGAGCCCCCGCAGGGGTCATCCTGACAGTGTCCTCCATCAGCATCCACCAGACTCTGCTGGAGGAGCTCCTCCCTGACCAGACAGAAGGAGGCCAATGATGGCAGGGATGGCCAGGGAGGCAGGGGCAGAGGAGGGTAACTCAGTTCTGTTCCTGTGACAGACATCCTGGACTATTATGAGGCTTCCATCTCAGAGAGTCAGGTAAGGGGGTGGGGTGGGGGGGCTGACTTCCTGAGGGAGGAGGCAGGGCTGGAGCAAAGTACTGAGGGAGGCACTGCTAATATTTAACTGAGACTTGGGGGCCCTGGGGATGAAATTCTGAGTGAGGGGCATGGAGAATGCACTTTCTCCTGTCCTGCAGCCTCTTCTCCCTCTTGCTTTCCCCCTTTCTTTGCCTGCCCCAATTTCAGGCACTAAGAGTCCAGGACGTAATTACTTTTCAGGCTTCCTCCTGTGAATCCCGAGGGAGAACTAGGCCCCCAGGGATTCCCTCCTGCCAGCCCCTTCCTCACCCCCTGCCCCCTATCACGGGCTCTCTCCAGTATTTAAACAACCGTGGGTGCTCCCAGCCCGACTCTGGGTGCTTCCTCTGAGAAATGAAACCCATCCTCATCGTCTCTGCTGTATCGCTGGTGGCTGGCCAGGTCTCCATGTTTGCCTCGGGGCCTCTCGTCTCCTGCTTCCATCTCCTCTCCCATTATCCGGGTTCCTGCCAGCACTGAAGGAGTTAACTCTGCCAAGGCACCCCCCCCATTCTCGCTCCTCGCTCGCTCGCTCCCTCCCTCCCCCTGCTTCCTCTCTCCTCCTCTCTCCCCTTCCCTCCTCGGCTCCACGGCTCCCTCGGCCGCTGCCGCCTCCGACCCCCCCCCCCCACTCCCCCGCCACGGCCCCTAGCCCCTGGCCGTTAGGCAAGACCCCCCCCTACCCCGGGGCTCCCCAGAATCCAGTTCCCCTCCCCCACCTCAGCTCATGCCCCAGCCCCCGAACTCCGGGGCTGCCAGCCCCCGGTGCCCCCGCCCCTCCTGAGAATCGGGGTGTGCTCCCCGAGCCCCCTCCCCTCCATTGGGGACCCCCTTTTAGGGCCCCCTTCCCCTCCCTCCCACGCTTCCCTACCTTTTCCTTCTTCAACCCCCTCTTTCCCCTCTCACCCCTCCCCCCATCCTGGCTCCCCCTGCAAAAGTGGGGTGCGGAGGGGGGAGGGGTGAGAACCGACGGAGGGGAGGAAGGAAACTCCGATGAAGTCAGAGCCCCTTACCCGCCGCCGCGGCCAGGCCCCCCAACATGGACTGTCTCTGTATAGTGACAACCAAGGTAAGCGTGATGGGGGGTCTGTAAACTGGGGGGAGGGTATGAGTTTGTGGGGAGGGGTTAGGCAGGCCTAATCTGGGGCCAGGGGGCCTGGAGTGAGAGCATCAGAAGATGTATCTCAGGGTCATAATTTACTTTTGGGGTGCACATCTGAGAAAACGCTTGGTTTGGCCACAGGTGCCCCCGGAGTGATTCCTTTGTACCTGTAGAGAAATGGAAAATTTGGTGTATTCCATGGTTTGGGGGGTCTTGTGGGTTTTGGGGTTCACCAATGATGTTTGAGGGAGACTTATTTAAGGAGAAGCCTAGCTCACATGGGAGTTCTGCTCTTGTGTATGTTAGGTGGACTACGTGGTGGGGGGGTCCTTTTTCCCCCTGGGGGACAAGCTGGCTTCCAGGTGCCTTGTCTAATTTCAGGGGGCTCCTGGCTTGGGGGTAGAAGGTTATTGGTTGGGAGTGCCTGACTGGTCTGGGGGTGTCAGCTGGCAGGGAAAGGGTGGGCCTTCAGGCTACGGAACAAGCGTCTCATGGTAGATACATTTGAGGGTCTGCTCAATTTGAAGGAACTGTTAATTTAGGGTTCGATCATATGGAATGGGGATAGTTGGGAGTTGTCAGAGGGCTGGGGTCTGGCATAGGATCACCTGAGGGAATGGACCAGGTGAGGTTAGGATTTGGGGGTACTCCCATGGGACGTAGAAGGTTGCGGCAGCTGAGGTTGCCAGCTCCTGAGGAGGACGATGGGAGGTTTTGAGAGAGAGGGGATTTAAGGAGCGGAACCAGGTAGGTGGTACAAAATTTGGAGGTGGCCCAGGCAGGTTCCCAATGTCCCCATCCCCTCCTACACTGTATCTACCCCTGGTTGAGAAAGAGGGAGAAAAGCAGATGGAGGGGACTGTTCCTGTTACTACCCCTGACACTTAGGATCAAGGTTGGGGGGACACCTGGATTTAAGGTTACTGGGGTGAAAAGGAGTAGGAGGAGGGCAGGGCTGGCAGCAGTAAGGATCTGTACAAAGGTGGCCTTGTGGTTGGGGCCTGGAAAGGGCAGGAGATCTTGGATGGGGAGCGCAAGCAAGCTCCTGGTGGGATGCAGAATACCTAGGTCTTGGCCGGGAGACTCTGGGACTGGAAAGCTGGATGCCTGGTGTATGGAGGGAGGCTTGGGCGGGTGGCAGGCAGCTGGGGGTTGGGGGGTGGGACAGGAAGTGGGGGCCGGGGAGGCGGGGTCCGGGTGAGTCACTGGCTGGGGAGGGGGTTATATTTAGTGGGAACTGCAGCTTCTCAGGGGAGGGAGCTGAGGACACACATGTTCTGTGCCACAAACTCACACATGTGTACACATGCGTTGTACACATGTGAGCATGGATGGAAGAGACTGGGGGCTGAGGACCTTTAGGTTCGGAGCCCCCACCCCCTCTGCAGGGCTACTTGCTCGTACCCTGTTTTGTGGGCTTTGGGCTTTCTCCCACACTGCTTCTTTCCCTCACCCCCTGTAGTTTCAGTGGATTTTGGTGCCTCAGTTTCTCTGGCCTGGTCTCCTTTAATGTCTGTCTGATCCTCTGCTCCACCTATCTCCTGCCCTTAGCCTGCCCCTTAACCTTAGGCTCCCTGGCTGTGGTCCCCTGTGTACAGGTGTACACAGAGAGCCAGTTGGAATGTGTAGGCTCTGCTTCCAACACGTGAACATAACGCCAGTGAGGGTGAGGGGCTTGCCTGCACTGGCAGCTATTCTGGGAGGGGGCCTTATTCATTTCCCTTCCAGACTCCTACTTCTTCGATGGAGCCCAGGGTTGAGCCTCTCCGAAGGAAAGAGCCTTGTGCAGAGAGGATCATGCATTTGGGGTTTTCCAGAGGCGTGGAGACCCAGGTTTACCATATTCCTTGTCCGGAAAACTTGGCAGTCTTGGGATGGCGGGGACTCCAACTCCCGTAAGACCTTGAGGCACAAGATCCCTCAGTGTTAGAGAGCTGCTGCCGGTGGGGCTGTTGGGAGTTGTGGTTCATCTCTATCCAGGGCAGCGAAGGGTAGCCCAGGAGGAGCCAGCAGGGGGCACATGGCACTTTTTCCCCCAAAATGCTGTATGGGGAAGGGGGTGCCCAGGCTTTGCGGTCGTTGAGCTTCCCAGCTCCGTCTGAGTCCTCCATTTTTCATTGCCTATATTTAGACTCCTGCCGCAGTGATTTAAGGAACATTTATTGAATGCCACTATGTGCCAGGCTCTGTGCTTTGTGCTAACTCTGCCTTTATAGCTATCACTTAGTCTTACTCCGTGCCTATATCTCTGCCTGTGTCTCTCTGTCTCTGAGCATCTTTCTCCCACTCCGCCCCCGTCCCTCCCCCTTCTCCCCGCGCTGCTGCCGCCGTTGCCATGGTAACCGGCGACGACTGAAGTTGCGTGGCGAACTTGAGGGCCGGGCGCGGGTGGCGGAGGGCGGAGCAGAACAGTGGGGGAGGGGAGAAAGTGGGGAAAGACCGGGGGTATTTGGCCAGAGCCCCGGAAGCGAAGCGGTTAAACCCCCCGGGTGGTCCTCATTGGGCAAAGCTAAGATGCTGGGGGCGGGGCAGTGTGGCCAGCGGCCTCATTCATTGGCCGACAGGGGCGTGGCGAAGGGACAGTGTGGGCGAGGCCGGGGGAGCGAATGGGCGGGCAGTGGACGGGGGCGTGGTCTCCTGGAGGCTGGTGGGCGGGGCCGGGCTTACTCTATCGAGGGAGGCGGGCGACAACCCTCGAAAAGGGGCGGGGCCTTAGGGCTGGTTAACCTGACCGAAATGAGGGCGGGGCTGACTCAGCGGGGGCGTGGCGTGGTCCCGTGTGCCGAAAGGAGACAGGGTTTGAGGGGCTGTTGTCTAAGTAACTGCGGGGCGCAGGGGTCTCTGGAAAGGAGAATCCGGGGGTTGGGCGATCTGACGTCTCAATTTTCCTAAGATGGAGGCCTGTTCAGATTTCATCAGAGCACAACCTCCTACCTCAGCTCTGTGTTCCAGGGAGACGGTTGCTAGGCGACAGCAAAGTCCTTGATTGCTGCGTTGCCAGGCAACTGGGAAACGGAAAATGGAGGGAAAAAGGAAATGGGGGATGGGGGAGGGTCTTAATGGGCTATAGCGCCCACTGGTGGAGAACTAGGCCTGTGCATGTTCTATTCTAGAAGGAATTTCGAGTCCAGCCTCTTCCGCACTGGCTCCCTCTGAGGCTCCAAGCATTCTATCTAGATATGAAACTAGGGCATTGAGGGTCATTTTGGGGGCACATCTAACAGATTCCGATCAACGGGAAGAGATGAGGCATAGGCGAGATTCTAGGGAAGTCCATTCTCTCTGCCATGTGTGGGCATTTTAGAGAAGCCAGAGAAGCAGATTTGAGAAGACTGCTCACTGGGCTTTAAGAGTTGGAAGGGTGGGCGTTCAATGGGAGAATATTTGGAAAAAATGCTTTCAGGTTTAGTTGTTTGAGAGAAAATGGAAGCCCCTGAAGAGACCTGAGGCAGTCATTTTGGGGTATTCTGGAAGATTTGTGGGTCACTGCAAATTGCAGGCCAGATCTGACTTTGAGAATATTTTTTGAGGCTTGGGTGTAGGGAGATGGATATATTTGGGAGCAATCTTCCAACAAAGTTGCAATTCAGAATTGTGGAGGGGATGTTGAGATGTAGGGAAGGCAGCCGGAAAAGGGAGTAACGTATGAACTTGAGGGATAAAGAAAGGGAATAGGGAAATACCTCTTAATTTAAGGGTTTGGGAATAAATTGTAGAGGTTGCAGTTGAATTTGGGTCAGCTTTAAAGTACGTTAAGTATTCCCTGAAATTGGGGTCTGGTGTTATTGAGGACTGGTATATTAGAAAGTCAGGAGTATATCATTAGATTCAGGGACTTGGACAGGGGACCCCAAACGAATTTGAGGACTGCTTATTTGGATGTTTACATTAGAATAAGGATAATATTTGCACTAATTTCAAGGTCTCTGTTAGTGGATTGTGGGACGGATATGATTTTAAAAGGGATGATTTAAAGGGTAGATGAATTTAAGGGCACAACAAGGATCTGTGGTCCTTAAACTCTTGAAAAGCATTGTCTGGCTATCAGGTGGGGCTGGACTGCTGGTTGGAATAGGAGATGTCTTGACATCTGAGGGTAAGCTGTCCACGTTAACTGTCTTTGGGGAGGGGCTTGTGGGAGGCAGTTTAGATCCCTTGGAGGTCCTTCTGAAGTAAGAGGGAAGTGCTGCTTCCTTCCCTGTACCCTGGGTGTCCAGTAGTGGTGAGCGGTCCAGTGAGGTTTTGGCATAGTTAGGGGCCTGGTGAAGATTAGGTGGAATAAGGAGTCCTTGAGAACCAGAGCGGTAAATTTTAGGACTCTATTTGTATAGAGTCCTACATAGGAGTAGGAATAGGAGTATACTGTGGAAGGTGAAGTCCACAGAGAAACCGCTGGAACCAGGGAAGTTGATGGCTAAGAGGGTCTCCCCTCACCCCCTCTGTCCTATCGTGACGCTCTCCCGCACTGCGCAGGCGCCGTTCTCCACTACCCCCCCCCCCCCCCCCGGCCGCAGCCTCCAGTCGCCGCGGCCGCTGCAGCCCCCGCCCCTCTGCCCCTCCCCCTCCCCCAACCCCAGGACCCTTGCTCTCCCACCCACCCCCTCCCCTTAGTCCCCCTCCCCTTCTCCATGTCGGCTCGGAACAGATTCGCCTCCATGTGTCTCTGCGTGGTACGTGCCGCGGTACGGGCTCCGGCCCCGCTCCCCTCTTACCAGACCCCCCAAATCTCAGGGTGCAAGCTTCAAGTGCTGTCGCTCTTCCTTCTGCTTGGCGCGGGGTCTCTGGGTTGCAGTGTCTCGCAGACAGGCAGTGGGTCGCCCCTCTTATCATCATCCACTTTCACTCACACCCCTCTATTTTGGGGGTGCAACCCTCTGGTCCAGGTCATTCTGTGTACCTGGGTCTCCGGTGAAGAGGGGGCCAAGGGAAAAAGAACAACAGCGACCCCCAGGCCTTTTGCTTGACTTATGCCCTAATATATTGGGGGTTCAGACTTGGTCCCAGTAGCATCCTAGCTGTCGCGTGTCAGGGCCCAGAGTCCCAGTCGGGTAAAAGAGGGGATCCTCCGCCTGCCCTGCTTTGGTTGTCCAGTAATCTGCGACTTTTGAGAGGTGCTGGCCTGGAACCCCACCTCCTAGTTTGCAGTTTTGGCATTACTCTCCCCCAACTCCACCCTCCAGACATTTTTCCTTTTTTTCCCTTACTACATGTACTTTAACATTTCCAAGGACTGAACATAGGCCCTAACCTCCTTCAGCCACGTTCTGGGAACTTTGGTACCCTTTCCTTGTTCCCCATTTCCCTCACATTGTCTGCCATTCCGGAGGAGCCTTTTCCTCAGTCCTAGACCCTCCTCCCCCCCATGGAGGTGGGGCAGGGAGAGGTGTCTGCAGTCTCACTGTGATAAAAATTTACCTTCATTTCCTTTCTAGAATAAACAATGAAATGTCCCTTTCCATGCTTTCATTTTCTTTATGTGCACGCTGACATTTCTTCATTGGATTCAGGAATTTTCTCTGTGAAATGAGGTGAAGATGTAGGGTTATTGGGCTCAAACTCTCCCCCAGGCTCCAAAACTTGAAGCTGGCACCCTTGTCCCTGCCTCATTTATCAGGCAGGAAATTGGGGTCCTTGTGAAGTGAGAGAGGAGAGCTGCTTCCTCCCCTTCTCCCTGGACGCCCGCCACCCCGAGTTCAGTTCTGGGGCCCTGTTCCTCCCTCAGCGCTCGCACTGTCCAGGCTGAAGACCACCTTTTCAGGGTGTGGAATGAACAACCTCTTTCAGTTCATCGAAGTCTGTTATCCAAGACAGCCCAGCCTTTAGGAGGGCTGTTTACCTTATACCCCTTACTCTTTCTTCTTCTAGACTTTTTGTGCCCATGGTATTGAAACTTGGAGCTCAGGTTTCTCTCTTCAGGTATGTGGGCCAGGAAGCAGGGTGTGTCTTGATGAGCTCCTATGTTCTATCTTTAAGGCTCTTCAGATGTATCAAGGTGCTTCTTGATCCTGGTTGTCTCTGTGACCTGGGTTCGAGAGTCTTCATGTTGCTGGTACCATTTCCCTCCTCCCAGTCTCCTGCACCCTTAGCCACAGGCCAACTTGGGTTATATCCTCAGCCTTGGCTCATGATCCTTAGAATTTTCAGAACCATACTCTAGTATCAGGCATTGACCTTGATAAGCTTCCTTCAGTTGGGTCTCGCATCTGTTGCCCTCCAGATGTTGGGGTGCTTTCAGCTTCTCAGACACTTTTTTGAAAGGGAAATTCTGCTTTCTCTTTACCCATGTGTACTGGGGAGTGTATTGTCTTCTCCAGTCCCTGAGGGAGCCCTGCATATGGTACCCTCTTCCTCCTCTGCTGAGCCTGGAGTTGGGGAAGGTCTGCTTCTGTGGGGGTCAGCTCCTGAGGAGGGGAGCTGCGTGAGGGCAGAGGCAGATGTGGGGGGACCCAGGCAGGGTCGCCGCCCTCCACTGCTGTCTCCAGCTGCCCTTTTCCTCTCTTTGGCCCCCAGTTAATCTCATTTACTGGTGTCCCTATTAAGCTAGCATGGGAGGCCCTTGACATGGCAGGTGATTAGTTGGGAAGAGAGTCAGGGGTCATGTTGGATCTTTCACTCCAAACGGCCAGAGGGAGATCAGGAATTCACTCTTGAATCTCAGCACTCTGTCCCCTTCCCCAGTCATCGAACCTGGAATCTGGCACCCATGCCTGCCCCCCTCCTGAGCCCTACTACTTCTGTTCGTCCCCCTTCCTCCCCCATCCCCTTCTAGTATATCCGATCAGCTGGCTGGGCTGTGGGCATTTGTAGGGGTGGAGCTAGACTCCTGGGGCCCCTTTGCTGACCACTTGGGAGCCAGTGGGGCCAGTGGGGCCAGTGAAGGAAGAGCTGGCCGGGTTTAGCTTTGTCCTGCCTAGAGGGCTGATGCCAAGTTCCTGCTAGTTGAAGGGCCTGACTGCGCTCCACGCCTCAGCATACAAGGTGCTGGAGAGCCAGCCACTTATGGAGTAGAGGCTGCAGTGGGGAGACTGAGGCAGTGAAGGTGGGGTGGGGGGTGTGGAATGCAGAGTGGGAGCAGCAACTGGAGTATGGAGGAGGGAGGTTACAACATGGGAGTGGGATTAAGGGTATGAGGGAAGTGGGAGGAAGACGATGAGGGTAGCAAAGAAGTTAGGGATGGATATAGCGAATGGAGGTACAAGTGTCAGAGAGGCTGGAGCTCTGAAAGGGTGGAGGGACTTGGAGACAGAGCCCTGGGAAAGGGGTGAAGAAACGGACGCTGAAAAAGCGGTGTGCTGGATAGAGGGCCGGTGTCCTAGGATGTGAGGCGGAGGAGGATTTGAGGGAGGGGGCTGGGATTTGGGAAGAGATGAGAAGTGCGGAGGCCTTGGCGGGAGAGGGGGCTGTGGGAAGGGTGGAGAGAGGGGAACCAATGGGCTGGAGGAGAGGGAGGGGGAGGAGCTGGTCAGGCCCCAGGGCCTTCCGCACTGCACAGGCTGGGGGAAGAGGAGGCGCCGGGCGGGCTGCCTGGAGCCCGAGGCGCTGGGCCGGCCCTAGTGACGCCTCCGTCCCCATCCCCAGAAATACCGCTACCAAGATGAAGACACGCCCCCTCTGGAGCACAGCCCGGCCCACCTCCCCAACCAGGTAAACGCCCCCGAGCTGGTGCACGTGGCGGAGAGGAACTTGTCCCACCTCGAGGCCGTCCATGGGGTCGTGGGCCACACCCACTTCTCCCCCCTCAAGGTAGGAGACTCAGGCGGCCCCCTCCCCAGTGCGGCCCTCGGAGCCTCGGAGCTACAGCAACCCCTAAAGGGCCGGTAGGGCGAGAGCTGTAGGTGGAGGGAGGCTGGGACTGGGCGGCTGGCGCTTGGGCTCCTCGGGCCAGGGGGGAGGGGGCGTTTGGGGGGCTGGAAACACCTTGTTCCCATAGAGGATAAACCGAGGCCAGGCAAGTGGGAATGGGTGTAGAACTTAAAGCCGGGGTGTGTGTGTGCGTCTGTCTGTGTCTGCATCTGCGTGTCTGCGAGCACGTGTGTGGAGATCTGTGCATCCCGAGTCCAGGCCTTCTTCCTTCCTTCACACCCCCCACCTCCGATTCTGTTTTCTGTGTCCAGAGCTCTCTTCAGAGCTCCTGCTGCCCTCATTTGCTCTTGTCCGTTCCCCTCCTCCTCCCCCCATTTCCGGCCTCTGGGCCTGGCTCTCCCTATCCCCGAGTCTCCAGACCTTTCCATCTGTCTGGCCTGAGACTTCCAGTCGTGGGGCCTTTCTGCCTCCATCCCCTGCCCAGCCTTTGCTCCCCTCCTGTGTTCCCTCCCCTCCTCGCTGCCTTTCCCTCCCTGCTGGCTGGCTGGTTCTTGATGCTGTCTCTCTCTTCCTCCCACGCACTCTCCTCCTCTCCCTGATCCTGGGCTCAGGCCCTCTGTGACCTGATCAGTCCTCTTCCTCTGTCAGCCAGCTCCCTCTCTCCTAGTTACCCCATTCCCTACTCATCACTTCTCTCCTTTCTTCTCCTCATGCCTCCCCTTCTCTCACTCTCCTGGGCTCTCACTTCCCCACCCAGATCTTCTTTATGCACCCGCTCTGCCTCCCATTATTATTCACCACCACCTGTTTCTCCTTCTCTGTGCTCGCAGTGTGTTTTCCCTTCTCCAGTCCTGAGGAGGCCTTGTTTCTAAGACCTTCCATTCTCCTGGCCACTTTCCATCTTCTTACCCCTCAGTTTCCTCTTCTGGGGGCATGGGATGGAGAGGGGTAGAGAGCACCAGGCAAGCTGTGAGATTGAGGGGAGCACTGTGGGGTTAGGGGTGGGATCCCAGAATGTTGTGGGATGCCCTTGGAAGGGGGAGGTTGCTGACATTCACCATGGGGAGGAGCTTTCTGAGCCTAGGGGTGAGGAGGCAGGGAGGGGGCAGCAGCAGGTTCTGGGGTGAGAAGGAGGTGGCAGGAGAGGAGTTGGAGAGGGAGAGAAAGACCATTCTTTGGCATGTAGTCAAATGGAGAGACAACAGAAAGGTAAAAGGTCCTGGGGCAGGGGTAGACAGGGATGAGACTGTGAAATCAGGGCAGGAGGTTGAGCTGATTGCGAGAAGGAAAGTAAAGCCCTGGAGATGGGGAGATGGTGCAGAGTATTCCTGTGGCACTCGAGGCTGCAGGGAGTGAAGAAAGAAGACTAGAGATGCTTTTTGTGAGATGGGGCAATTAAGTCACTGAGAAGGGGGAAGATGAGAGAAGGGAGCCTTGAGAGGTGGTAGTTAGTACAGCGCTAGGGACTGTTGGAACCAGAGCTCAGAAGCAGAAGGAAGTGGAAGCAGAGCGTGCTGGAGCCTATATGTGAGGGAGGGAGGTCTCAAGACAAGGCCTGAGTTGGGGAGCAGGAGAAGCCCCAATTTTCAGAGGAGATGGGGAGTGGGTTGAGAAGGGAGTGTGATTTGATGATAGAATCTTGAGGGCTTGAGGATGAGGTAAGGGAGAGTGGTGCTGATCTCTCTGGGGAATCAGAAATTAGGATGGAGGATAAGAGCAGGAGACTGATAAGGGATGGGGCTGGAGGGTGGAATAGGGACAAGAAAGTGGATGGAAAATGGAGGCTGAGATTGGAAGATGGAAATTGAAGGATGGGACAGGGATTTGTAGATGGAGGATGTGGGATGGGGTCGAGAGAGAGAGACGGGAAGATTATGAAGGTAGTCGCTGATGAAGGATGGGGCCTGGAGAAGGAGGGTCTAGTATAAGGATGGGGATGGGGACTGAGGAGAGGCACTGGGATGGAGGATGGACATGTGGATGAGATTTGGGCAGTCAGTGGCTATTGGTTGGACAACAGCATTTGCTGAGATTTGAAGGGTCGCAGGATGGTGTTAATAGATTTATGGGTATGAAATCTATTATAGAGCTTGAAAATGGTAATATGTAGTATTGAGAAATAGCAGTAGGAGAGAGGAGGGACCCCTTTGGAGGGGGAGAGTGAGGAGCCTGGGGAATCCATGATGAGTGCCTCGTGCTTGGTAGGCTCCAAATATTTGTTTAAGGAGGAGATAGGTTGGGGACCCCGGAAGGAGGCTCTTGGCCACCTCCCCCCGTTGCCATGGAGACGTGGCTTTGGTTGCCTTGGCAATTGGGGAAGCCCCTAGGACCCGCCTTAAGCTGGCCCCGCCTCCAGAGTCTAGAGACCCTGCTGCGTCGAGGCGACTGACGTCAGGGACCTGGGCACGCCCCACTTTAACCCATTCCGGAATGAAGTGGGGGGGAGACCGGGGAGTGGTAGATGAGAGGATAGGACCCGGATGTCTTTCACCACTCCCCCTTCCTGGCGTCCTTTGCACAGCGTAGGGTGAGGGGCGTAGGGTGAGGGGCGTAGGGGTGGGGGGAAGGGAGGTTATTCAGGATGCACTGCGCCCACAAACGTCTTCAGCCTGGACTTCTCTCGGCCTGGCTAGCGGGGGGCGGGGCCCAGGGCAGAAGAGGCGGGGCTAGCGGATCGCTTCTTCGTTCTGGAGTCTGGTCGGCCCTACGCCACGCCCCATCTCCCCCTCCCGTTGTCCTGACGACAGGGCCTCCTGGAGGTGGGTCTCCCCAGGCCTTGGCTGGGCTTAGATACCGTTGCTAGGCAACAGGGTCTCTAGAGGAAGGGGTGGATTGGATGGCGAGTGGGCGAGAGGGAGGGAGGGGCCTGCGTCTGGGGCAACCCCAGATTCCTGGGGCCCAGGGTTTAGGGCAAATGTGTGTGAAGGTAAGGGGCAAATCTGAGGGAGGGTTCTGAAGGTCTCTGGATGTATGTGGGCGTATAGGGACAGGGATCAGGCAGGAAGGCGGGCAGGACCCTGTGGACATAAGCCCCCAGGGTGAATGTGTGTAGCACATAAGGCATGTAACACCCTGTGGTGTTACATCCGGTGAGAAGCTACCCCCCCAGCCTCCTCCCCTCTCCCCACTCTTTACCATCTGCTGCTCCCCCGTCTGGCTGTTTCTCCCTTCCTGCTTCTCAGACACCTCCTTCCACATGCAGGGGACATGGGCTGGGCAGAGTTAGGTCCACACACGTGTGCATGTGCGCATATGTGTGTATATTATATGGATTGACGCTGGGTCCTTGAGAGACACTAAAGGTAGCAGAGTGGGCTTAGTTAAGAGGCTGAAAGGGTAGCCAGGTTGGTGGGACTCTTGGTTACTGGCTCCTTCTTGAGCTAAGGCTCAGGCAGCTTTTCATCTTTTTCCCCTCACAGGCCAATTCTCCCCCTGTGATTGTCAACACAGACACCCTAGAAGCCCCAGGATATGTGAGTTGTTTAGATTTTGGGGCTGTTGCAGAGGAAGGAGGGAGACAGGGAGGGCCTGGGTCCCAGCAGCAGGGTAGGGGCAGGTGCTCAGGTAGGAAGGTCTGTCTCACTGTTTTTGTGTTTCTGGGCCGTGCTGGAGTTGCAGGTGAACGGGACCGAGGGGGAAATGGAATACGAGGAGATCACACTGGAAAGGGTGAGCAGGGTCCTCCATCCAAGGTCTCCTTGCTCCCTGTCTGTGCTTCTCTCTGTGCCTCTGTTTTCTAGGTGGCCAGCCTCTTAACCCTGTCCCTTCCTGCTCTGGTCACAGCTCCCCAACCCATTCCCCTCCCTTCTCACCTTGCCAAGACTGGGCAGTGAGGGGAGCTGACCCTTTTCCCCTCCTTCTGCCCAGGGTAACTCAGGTCTGGGCTTCAGCATCGCAGGTGGCACTGACAACCCACACATCGGTGACGACCCATCCATTTTCATCACCAAGATCATTCCCGGTGGGGCTGCAGCTCAGGATGGCCGCCTCAGGTGGGGAGAGGCAACAGGGGTTAGGATGCTGGTTCCCTCGAAAGGGAGGGCCAGGGCAGCAGGAAGCTCCTGGCTCAGGCCCGCCTTGCTGCCCTCAGGGTCAACGATAGCATCTTGTTTGTAAATGAAGTGGATGTGCGGGAGGTGACCCACTCAGCGGCAGTGGAGGCCCTCAAAGAGGCAGGTTCCATCGTCCGCCTCTACGTCATGCGGCGGAAGCCCCCGGCTGAGAAGCTCATGGAGATCAAGCTCATCAAGGGGCCTAAAGGTAGTAACCATTATGTTGCCACCCCCATCCCAACTGTCGCCTGCTCCAAGGCGTGCACCCTAGGCACTTGGACACCCCCCTCTGCCCTGTCCTCCATCCAGGTCTTGGCTTCAGCATCGCAGGGGGTGTAGGGAACCAGCACATCCCCGGAGATAATAGCATCTATGTAACCAAGATTATCGAAGGAGGTGCTGCCCACAAGGACGGGAGGTTACAGATTGGAGACAAGATCTTGGCGGTGAGGACTCCCATCACTTTTCTAGCCCACACTTGGGTCTCGCCTGCTGGCCCTGAGCAGGCCCAGGCTTCCTTATCAGCTCATCCCTAGTCATCTGTCTTGAGGCTGTTTCTGGCTCAGTCTGACCTCTGCTTCCCTTGACCCAGGTCAACAGTGTGGGGCTGGAGGACGTCATGCATGAGGATGCTGTGGCAGCCCTGAAGAACACGTATGATGTTGTCTACCTAAAGGTGGCGAAGCCCAGCAATGCCTACCTGAGTGACAGCTATGCTCCCCCAGACATCACAACCTGTGAGAGCCCTCCAAACCCCAGAGCTCCCCATGCCCCATCCCAGTTACCCTCATGACATCCCGGGGACTGTTAATCTTCAGATACTCCCCATGAAATAGGCACAACCTCTGTCACTTCCAGTGGTTGGAGAATAGATGGACAATCAGTCACAAGAGAAGAACTAGAAAAGATTGTCAACAGTCTCTCCCCCAGAAGGCACAAGGCCCAGATGGTTTTATGGCTAATTTTATCAAAGCCTCAAGGAATAGATAATTATTATGCTCTTTCTGGGTACAGGAAAAGATAAAAAGTTTCACATTTCATTTTGTAAGGCCAATTCAAGTGGTCACAAAGATAATGTAAAAGAAGGAAAGTACAGACCAATTTTGCTTTTGACTAGAGATGCAGAAGTTTACAATAATGTAATAGCAACCCAAACCCAGCAGCATATTAAGGGACAATATTAACATTGTAACAAAGTAGGATTTGTTTCAGAAAAATAAAGGTAGCTCGATGTCAAGAAACCTCTTTTTTTTTTTTTTTTAAAGATTTTATTTATTTATTTTTTCCCCCCAAAGCCCCAGTAGATAGTTGTATGTCATAGCTGCACATTCTTCTAGTTGCTGTATGTGGGACGCGGCCTCAGCATGGCCAGAGAAGCGGTGTGTCGGTGCGCGCCCGGGATCCGAACCTGGGCCGCCAGCAGCAGAGCGCACGCACTTAACCGCTAAGCCACGGGGCTGGCCCACAAGAAACCTCTTAATATGATTCATTGTATTAAAAGTTAAGGTAAGGGCCGGCTCCGTGGCTTAGCGGTTAAGTGCGCGCGCTCTGATGCTGGCGGCCCGGGTTCGGATCCCGGGAGCGCCCCGAGGCACCACTTCTCCGTCCAACGTGAGGCCGAGTCCCACATACAGCAACTAAAAGGATGTGAACCTATGACATACAACTGTCTGCTGGGGCTTTGGGGGGAAAAAAACTGAATAAATAAAATCTTTAAAAGTTAAGGTAAAAAAATAAAATCATTTCAGATAGATGTGGAAAACACATTTGACAAAACTCGACATCTATTTTCAGATGAAAACTTAGTAAACTTGGAACAGAGGAATTTTCCTTAACATGATGAAGAGTAGTTATCAGAAACCAATGACTGAGCCAGCCCTGATGGCCTAGTGGTTAAAGTTCAGTGCGCTCTGCCTTGGTGGCCTGGGTTCGGTTCCCGGGCACAGAAGCACATCACTTATCTGTCAGTAGCCATGCTGTGGTGGTGGCTCACATAGAAGAACTAGAAGGACCTACAACTAGAATATACAACTGTGTATTGGGGCTTTGGGGAGGGGGAAAAAAAGATTGGCAACAGATGTTAGCTCAGGGTGAATGTTTCCCAGAAAAAAAAAAAAGAAACCAATGACAAACATTTCATGATAAAATCGTAGTAGTGTGTCCATTAAGTTAGGAACCAGGCAAGGATGCCTCTTATCTCTGCTATTGTTGTACATTGCTTTAAAGCGGGGTGTCTTAACGTTGGTACTATTGACGTTTTTGGACCCAAGAATTCATTGCTGTTGGGGGTTGTTCTGTGCATTCTAGGATGTTTAAGAGCATCCCTTGTCTCTATCGGATGACAGTGGTACCGCTCCCCACCAGTCAGGACAACCAAAAATGTCTTTAGACATTGCCAAATGTCCCCTGCTTTAGAACCACTGCTTTAGAGATTTCAGGCAGTATAGTGAGACAAGAAGACTAAATAGATGTTATGTTTGAAAAGGGAGAAACAAACTTATTCTTATTTGTGAATTGTACTGTTGTATGTCTAGATTAAAATCTAAGTGGGTTAACTGAAAAACTTAAAAATAATATGGAAGGTTAAGAATGTGGCCATATGTAAGATAAATAACAAGAATTAGTAACTTCCCAGCAATAACGTAATCAGTAAAAAGATCCCTTTCACCCTAGAAAAAAATTCTATAAAATTCTTAGAAATATAAACTTGACAAGAAGGGTGTAAGATTTGTATGAAGAAAATATGACACTTTAATGAAGGACATATGGGCCGGCCCCGTGGCTTGGTGGTTAAGTGAGCGCGCTCCACTGCTGGCGACCCGGGTTCGGATCCCGGGCTCACACTGACGCGCTGCTTCTC